TATCAAAACATCATGATACTACCATTGCACATCATGTGGGAGTGGAGAATACCTTGGAGAGCATTCTACGAGTTTATTTTGATCTTCAATTACGGGAGAATGTGGAGTCTTACGTTTGAAGTTGTGTTGTTTGTCAACAAAACAAGGCAAGTAATAAAAAACAAGCAGGTTTATAACAATCTCTAATATTCCTAAACATCGATGGAAACATGTCACCATAGATCTTGGATGTGAGTGATAAAAAACTTTGTTAAGAAATGATTTAGTGGTGGTTTTTGTGGACAAATTGAGCAAAATGATTCACATCAAATCATCCACAAAAACCGTGACGGCTCCACAATTTGCTCAATTGCACTTGGATGCTATTTTTTTGAATCATGAATTAAACAAAGTCTTAATCATTGATAGAATTACTCATTTCACTAGTTTGTTTGGGAAAACTTTGATTAGTTTTTCAAAACCAAAGTAGCAATGTCAACAGTTTATCATACTCAGACTGATGATCAAATAAAGATAGTCAATAAAAGTGTAGAGCTTGAGACACTTCCAATATGTTCCGAAGGTATACCGTCACCTTCTGCGCAGTGCAAATGTCAATATGAAGACTCTTGCATTCTAGCTCTATGAAATGTAGGTCATCTTTATACACAACGAACACCTAGAGGCATCACCCGCTAGCTTCAAGCCCTCATCAGGTGCAATTTCCATAGATGCAGTAGTTGCCACATCCACAGAGCTCATGTCTACTCCTATTCTACGCAAAACCGCTGCAAGCTCTAATTCTAAATTCTTACTAGTTTTTTTCAAACCGGATTTGAAAGAAATAAACATTATACCTGAATGTTGATGTCCTAGAACTACGCTGGCTTCCAATCCTCTCAAATTACGGTTCAACAAATCTATTTTTTTCCACTTTGTGATCTGGATTTCTCAATTTACATAACCATGAAGACATCGTTCTACTCTAGCTTGCAAACCTACATCTGTGTGTTGTTCGAGATGTCTGATGATCGCCTCAGTCTCCACCAATATTGCTTCGGCCGCGACCAACTGCTCTTTAACTGCCGACAGTTGAGATTGCAATCTACTGCAATTTGCATCCAACTTTCTTCCGCGCTCCATCTCCAAAGGTTTGGCAGCCTCGCAAATAGCTAGTCGCTTCATCCAACGAGCTAATTCGACAGCCTCCGACCGATCTTGTGCCGCCAGATTTGCTATCAACTCCTCCGCGTGATGAGATTCCCTCTGAAATGCTGCTCAAAACACTTACAATCTGTTCTGAAGGTCTATCGTCACCTTCTATGCATTGCAAATGTCAACTCGAAGGCCCTTGCACTCTAGCTCCTTCTACGTATGAAGGCTTCGCTCAGCATCTAACTCTCGTCAAAGTTCTTCACATTCCAACTCCTTCGCCCAAAGTTGCTCTTCTCGCTCTTGCAAAGTAACTGTCATGGTTGCACACTCGAAGTCAAGCTTGCAACTTGTTCTATTATCTCAGCAGATGTTGGCGTCTTTGGCTTCGTTCTTCTGCGCACTAATTCCACATAAGATCCCGCCGAAGACGCTGGCACTGAGTATTTCATCACTTTCCTATCTAAGTACTTTACCAAGGAATCTATTCTACCGCTCAAAAAATCAGCCAAACTAAACTCTGCCAACTTTGACTCGTTGGCCGAAGTCCCTTCACTGCGGTCAAATTCAACTGTACCCGAAGACACCTGACACAAAAGCATCGTCGGTTCAAGTAATTAAATTTGATTCGAAAATTTGTGTTTATCAACAATTCTATGTATCAAATACTTTTTCAAAATTTATGTTAACTTTCATCATTGAATTGCTCTAAAAACATTGGTTTTGAGCCATAAGTATTTTTGTTATAAACTTGAAATTTTCAAACTTTAATAATAGATTATGAACTGAAAAAAATCAGATGTATAGATCACGTATAATGTTAGTATACAAGGCTTTTAACCATAGCTATTTTTGTACAATAAATATCTAACATTCATCAGAGCGCTTAACACCAACCATAAAATTGCAATAGCTTGTTGGAGTCTTGGATGGAATGCCATTTAGCAACTTGAAATTAGATATAGCAACATGTACCTCCAATACGCTTGATTGCGTATAGTCTTGGATCTCAGCTGAAGCTTATGTAATCAATCACTTATGGGCGCATTTTTTATATGTTTTTCATGAGTTTGATGAAAAATGAATATACCGAATAACATATATGTTCAGCGCTACCATGACTTCAGTCGTTGGATTGATAGCTTGGAAATATTTACTAAATTCGTCGGACAAGTTGATTGAAGACCTCCTTGAAAAACAAGTTGATTTACGTACAATAGATTCTTGTGAAGAGCATGAACATGTAAGACATCATGTATTATACTTTCCTGTCTATCATTCAAAAAAATGAGAACTTCACACAGGCTTGCTGTACTATTTCCATATTTGAGTGGAGTACCACAAAATTGTCGCCGTACTGGATGATTTTTCCTTGAATGGATTGGCGACTATAGTTGCCCAGATATATGTTCAATATATGTTCCAAGGCATTTTTGTTATATACCATATGGTGAGTAGCACCAAAAACTACATACCATGCAGTATTCCAACATTTGTTTGTAAGATGGTATTGCTTCTTGCAATAAAAGCATTTCATCTTTTGCTTGGAGAAAATAATTTTGCAAGAAGTTAGTGTCTTCTATACTTTCCCGGTCATATATTTATATTACAAGAAGTGAGTTCATCATGCTAACAAGTTTTGGATAGAAACAAGACAACTCTTCAGTGCATTCTACAGCAAACGTTTGACAACGATTGTATGTCACCATACTATCATCCATTAGGATGAATTCTGCCTTGTATGTGGATTCTGATGTTACCCAACACATGATAACGACCCTTATTTAATGGAATTTCTTGGATGCACCATTTTTTATGTCCACCCTCGTTTCATTATTGTGTAGAGTGCTGACATTTCTTCGATCAACTTTTCTTCTTGGAGTTGTGAATCTTCAAGAAGAATACTCATAATGACGAATTGTTGTGATCTCATTGAGCGCACACATGATTGGTACTCCATAAAAAGACTTCTGAGTAAGAAAGTGTACGTTTTGGCCTCCGAAATAGTCTAGTCTATAACAGCCAACCCATCAAAAAGTAGACAAAATTTTGTGATATTTTGCGACATAGACTCACCTGTCTTCTTCTTGAACCTATGCATTGTATCTCACAAGTGCATTTGCATCAGCATGTCATGGAACTCATACACTTTTTCTAATTCAGCTTGCTGTTGTCTCCTATTTACTCCCTGCTCCTGTACCGGTTGGAGAACCAGGTGGAGTTGTTGGACGGAGCCCTTTACTTAGAGCTAGAGGGATAAATTAAACATTTTTTTCTAGACAAAGAAATGAAGTCTTGGGCAAAATATGTGGGGATCAAAATTTGAGATCTCAGTATAGTGTAATTCACAACATTTCTCTAAAAAGTTCACTTGCAGTGAATTCCGTCTACTCAGAATTACATGATCAAGAATCAAACTCAAATCAAGAGTAACTTGTTGAGAACTTTTTTAACTTCCAAGCTTGGCCAGCGTACAAACTGGATGTATTTTTTGAACTGCTCATGTGAGATAAATTAGAAAACTAAATCTCTCCTGAGAAAGCTATAATCAAGAATCTGCTTATGTGAAAAATTATATCTGTTGACACAAATTCAGAGTGATTTAAAACCCATTACTGTACAACTATTACTACAAATTGCAGTTTCATATCCACACCTCCTTCCGGAGTACCTCTTCATTTGCTTTCGCGAATAAAGTGGGAAGAAAAAATATAGGCCCGTAGGGCTGAAGTTCTCATCTCTCTTTTTTGCCCTCTCCGGACACTTTTTTGGTCCAAAGGACACGAGACCTGCCGGGTATCCATTCCAGTACAACAAATGAGATTAGGCTTTAACCAAAAAACGCGAACTGAAGGTGTAACTTGAAGTCTAACCGCAAAAGCGAAGATTTGGAGAAAATACAAATCGTCTTTTATTTCCAAGACGATTTGTATTTCTTCAAGCTCAATAATGTTCATTATCGCTTAGAAGATTCTCACCTTACTTAAGTTTTGGGCAAAAGAAATGATATCTTCGGACATCGAGAGAATCTTATCAATGCACATAAGTACATTAGTGTATTACTATTTACTTTCAGAAAAACTAATGAAAAAGCTTTGAATTATTCTTTCATGATTACTCTGATTTAATATGCGTTGAAATTTAAACATATCAATTGGAACAAATTTTTTTTAGCAACCCGATCTGTTTCTTCCAAGATTGATTTTTTTTTCCATGGATAAGCATTTTGATTCAATGGGAATTGTTTCCATACATCTTTTTGGCCAGTTTTGTTGTATTGTGGAAACAATAGTAATTCACATGATTCTATGATTATTTGATCTATACGGTTATTTATTTACAATGTCAAAAATAACATGATGTTGAGGATAGCATATGAGATTGCTTATTTCAAAATCAAAGTGAATTATGTGTTACACTAATTATAAGTTTATGATATTTCAATACTCAGTTCTAGACTACAAATTTACATGACAGACATGGTATTGTCTGTCCTACAAATCATTAATTTTTTTAGCAAATAAATGTCGACTTTGTTTAGGATATGTATCAAATAAACAAATAATAATTAAGGTTTTTTAATATTTATTAGTTTAATATTCAAAACATTATTATTATATTCATCAATGAATACAAATTTTAGTAATAATATAAAAGAGAATTATCCGTTTATTTACATTAGAATTTACATCTTTTAAATACCTTAACACTTACTAATGTTATGCACAATAGTTATAAAATATCATACATAATTGTTTTGTAACAGATTATCAGAATGTCAATTTCGACATTTTACTTTTCAATGACTATTTGCTTTTCACAACTTACTCTCACAAATGATTCATGTCCTGTGTATGAATTCCGATTGAACCATGGAATTCATGAGGGGCACTGACAATATTGAACTTACCTGGCCAGAGAGAAGTCCACGAGGAGAAGACGAGGAGCAGGGCTGTGTGCCTCGCTCGTCGAGCACTGCAGAGCTGCCGGAGTGGAGTCACTGATAATCACTGAGTCGATCGAAGTTTCGGAGGGTCCTTCCGCGAGATTTGATCTGTCGTGCACGGCCGTGCAGGCTTCGGAGTGAGTCACAGCGCTCGGTGTTCGCTTTCCGCTTTTCCCCACCGGAGAAGATCGATCGATCGATCATCCGATCGATGTGTGCGCGCAGGTGGTAGATTTCTTCAGAATCAGCGCCGACTGGATCCACTCTACTTTATCTCTCAGGACTGCGGCATTGGGACGGCGAAGAAAGCAAGTACAATACAATGGACTACTTTTCCTTCCTACATCTCAAGAATCTGCGGTTGTCAAAACCACGTCATGCTTGATTGAGTTTTGCAATCCGGCATATATGAATTCCAGTGCATTCCTTGACTGTGACTTGCTTCATGTTCCCGAGCAGAGTACATTAAACCAGCTAGGAGTAGTGGAAAAGTCCTAGATTTTCGAGGTCTTCTGAGAGTGCAGGAATTAGATTTCTACCCTGTACCAAGTACTAAAGCGAAATGAAATACACCCAATTGACTCATGCACCTGACCGAGAGGGCAGTATGGGGCTGGGCACTTAAGCATCACAATGGAATCATGCCATAATCTAAGAATCTAGGTCGAGAGGTATAGAAAATTATCAAAGTGATTATTTCATATGGGTCGCACCGGCCGACGATGGATGCACACATATTAAAATATCTTGTACAAACTTTCAAAGTAATTGATACGAGTTACAACTCGACTCGTGCTAGTCTCTTAGGAGTATCCTCTAATTCAGCTGAGCCTAAAGTAACAAGGACATCTTTAACTCTTTGCATATCTAATAAAAACAGGTGTATTAATAGAGTCCACAGCGAGCAGCTGATCGTGGATGTGCCTAGTGTCAATTTAGGACAGAATTGCATCTCAGCAATCCGGTCCTCCATTTGGGTTCTTAGCAAGTTGGTATCAGAGTGCTGTATAGTTTCATTCATATTTTGCACGCTGGACTTCGATTTATGTCGTCTCTCTCGACGGAACGAGCGCAAATCTCATGTTGTGTAGAGTCTGTGTAGTGGGAGGATTCAGGGAGGTGCTGCAGAATTGACGGAAGTGGGTATCATCTTGGACGAAATGTAATCACGCAGTTGTTTGTGTGCGGAAATTGGCCAGTTTGTGTCGTGTGATGAACCTCCTGCCCTGCGTCAATTCTTCCCCGTGATAAGAAATCTGGATACAGAATCGTAAACTTGTAGATCTTCCGTGGCCCTTCGTCAGAAAGTAGTGCACTAGTGCGACAGAAGATCGGATTGATTGCTCTCACCTCTCTGATGGACGACGACTTGGCTCATGCCCGATCGTTGTTGTTGCTTGATGTGGCAGAGCTGATTGAGTCGATTGAATTGAGCTGAAGATGGTGAGAAGACGCGTGGTGTTAAAACTCACAGGTTTTGTGAAGAGGAAGGAAGGCATGAGCTTCGAGGAGTTCGACCACCACTGGACCAACAATCATGGGCCGCTTCTGGCCAGCCTTCCTATATTCAAGGAAAAGCTGATCAAGTACTCTCAGGTGCACTCTTCTCCGATTACCAATCTTTCATGAATCTGTCGTGAAATCCTGTAGACCGAGCCCAAGTGCATTCGTTGCGAGAAGGGAACCTTCCCACGTTTAATCTGATTGACGGTAAACAAGAAAGAATTAATGATATCCCATCTTAGTATTAGTAATAATGATTTCGTTTGAATATTTGTCATATGTAACAGAAATGTATATATTAGATTTAATATAATGTCAAATCAAAGTGATGAGATTTTTTAGTTAATATACTTATTTAAAACTTCTAAAAATGTCATGCATACTATTATTTTGATTGAAATTTGAAATATTATTTAGAAGTATATTATTTTATTATTATAAGTTTAAATTTATCGATTAATATATATTATTCAATACTTAAGATAAATAAGTTTATAACAACATTTTATAGTTTTATAAATTTATTATTATAGAATATTAAATGATAATTTTATCTGAAAATTGAAAATTTATAAGTTCCATTATTTTTTAATACAAATTTGTGAAATTAATCATAACTATTTATGCCAAGCGCACCTGCGTAAAATTGAACCCAAGTAGTTCGGATGTTAACCTTAGGATTGTGATGCAGATCCACGTGAGACAAACCGACATGAACTCGTCACTCTCGAAAGGATTACCGATGATGATGGGTTACGACGGGATTATGGAAGCCTACGCGGAGAAGATGGAAGATTTTGTGGCTCTCTTTGAGAGCGAGGAGTACAAGTCCCTCGTCATACCGGATGAGGAACGCTTTGTGGACAGAAGTCAGTTCAAGATGTTCATTGGATACGAGGAAATCCACTGGGATCGAGACGACGACAAGAGCTTCTCGTCGTAGATGTGCACTTCCCCTTCTTGTATGTAGATAAATCGAGATGTCACATGTCTCGAGTAGCCCCGTACCCTCCTCGCAGTACTCAACCTGTCAGGTGCATTGTATTCACAGCAGTTAAGATTTTGGGTATAAAATGTCCGATTAATTCACTTGCTTTGTCTTCAGATGATCATTCGCCATCTACAAATGCCAATCAGGACAATTAGGAATGGTGTCGGTGATGGCGGTCTAATTCTTTTTTTATGTAAAAGCGTTTCACCGAAAGGTATGAGATGTTGCATAATCCAAAGTAAATATTTTAAGCAGGTCCAAATTTTGTTTCTCTATGGAGAAAATCCCCAATTGTATACTAAAACTCTTGTTCAAGATATATAAGAGATAGATCTCATTTCAACTTGTGTTTCAGAAAAGAATTTAGAAGTTTTTATAACGCCTGTTACTAGCTGAACTCAAATTCTAAGTCTCTTGAATATATTTACCATCTTCTATGCCGGAGGAATAAAATTGTAATCCAAGTGCTTCTCTTGACAATTGGGTTGATTTCTCGGTTCTGCAGTCCGCCTTCTTCTCGGGAAACAATATTAGTATGGCAAAAACAGTAAAATTTTGGCAGTCAGTTTTATTCTTATTCTTTTAAAACCGCACGTGGTAGGTAATAATAACACTAAGGCAAACACGAACATCGGCAAATGGGGTATTCGCGTCTCGCTCCTCCTGGAAAATTACTGTGATTTCATATGGAATCTGCCATATTTGTCATTTGCACTAAAATAGAGGAAGGAAAAATTAAGTCACTAGTGAAATAGGAGATATTCTCCACTGCACCAACAACATCCAGTTATCCATGTTGAATGTAAAGCAATTTGAGGTCTAGGGAAGACCTAAAGCTTTAGTTGATATACAGCAGGAGCAATATTCAAGCAGCATTTCCTAAAACGTGACTCCTCAAGGATACTGATGACCTAGTTGCATGCAGAGACTTCAATAGAGCCACGACTTGAGCGACGTAACCCTCATCAAGTGTAAGATTAAACCAATCCCACAAAGAACCAAGGACTAGACAGGATAGAAAAGCAGGAAGCTGCGACAGGAATCGCCTGGGCCCTTCAATAAAATAACACAATTCAACCGACTAATACAAAGTCCAGACCTGGATCTGTCAGAAAATTTTACTCACAGAAGGACCGATCACGACATCAAACGAAGAAAAGTGTTTTGATCAGACCATCTGACCATTAACACACCTTTCCCACATACGAGATTCTTATTCAGTAACGTGCTACTGCGTCCTCACTTTAATCTTGGACAAAGTGAGGAAGGCAGCAAGAATCTTGATTCATATGCTTACTAAGATTTTGATAAGATGTCACAAACTCACATAAGAAAATTTAAGTTTGTGTAAAATATTAAAACCTGAGATTTTAGAATCCCAATGTGCAACCTTTCCCTGGTTGAATGATACGATGACCACAATTGCACCCGGCTAACGATTTCTGTTCAGAATCCACAACATCGATTTATGGTGGATGATAACTCGTATAATAGATTCAGATGATATTCAACAAACGGTTACAGCAGAGCCTTTGACCTCGCTTAGAAAGAAAAATGACTGCAACTATGTATGAACGATACCATTCACGTATAAAACAACTGGTACGATCTTATCCATTAGGTCTCTTTGTCGTCCTCTAGCTCCTATCGGGTAAAGTCTTCTTCCAATCTAGTTCCGACAACTCCACCTTCCAGATGTATATGCCTTCGGTGATATTATATCTGACAAACATAATCACAGCCAGTGAGCCATAGTCTCTTTTTGCTCGCTTCCAGATACATGTTAAAAATCTTTTTCCTGAAACGCATTTTCGTCAGGACTCGTATCAGCAACTCTGAAGATATGAACAGGAGAGCAGTAATTATGATCTCTAATATGTGGCCTGGAGCTATCACTCGGGAAAACTACATTGAGTTTCTTCAGCAACCTTGGAGCTCAGAGTATCCCATCTCCATCCAACTTGTAGCAACCGGAAAACAATTTGAGAAAGGTAAATGCATAATAGTATCTTAGATAAGTCAACATATTCAATTTGCAGGCGAGTAAAACATTGGGTTTGTTCCAGTAAAGAACGTGTTGATACGATAAACACAGCGTGGTAAACTGCTAGGTTCCTACGAACAGTAATTTGCATCAGGCTTCTTGAGCAACATCAAACGGCGAGAGTCTTAAACGCTTAAGCAGTAACTTTATGATTTCTTCAGAGATCATAACTTCCAAATCTCAAATATCATAACTACGAACCATATTAGTTTCTTACCAGGGCGAAGGTTTATAGGATTGAGTCTTGGGTTCCCATCTCTGTGTATCTTGAAGAGAGTGAGAACATCCCCAGACCTACTTCGACTGTCTTGAGATGAAAGCCATGTGTCGTCTGATCACAACATGTCCACAATCATTTCACAGCATCTTTCCGAAAAACCCAGAAGACTCTGCAAGTAGACTTCTCAGTCATCAAACTCAATAAAGGGAGTACATGTGGTAGTAGTAAATATATCAATAATCTGGACAGATAGGTGGAAAACAATATCCCCATGCCACCTATGGCAGAAAACTGCATCACGATTCACCAACCGAAGTGGTAAAGTGTAAAGCAAAGCACCTTCAGTTGGTAGACGATCAACGGACAGGTTTAGAAGATGAATTTCCGGCTCCCCTGGGATTTTCATCTTTCCAGTCATCCCACGCCCTGGCTTTATACTCCGCTCCTTCATCATCGCTGTCATCTTCTCCATCGGGTCTCTTTCTTATCTCCGTATGCCAGGAGGTGTTCGCCTCTGCTTGCATCTTTGCATTCTGTTCGTTCCACTTCGTCATCATTTCCATTTCGGCTAGACCAGCTTGTTCTATACTCATGGTAGGCAGCCTGCATCATACACACGTGGTTCATGTTTATGATCTCAGCTGCATCTGAGACAAGGATAACGGGATAGATGGGATGTGGAAAAGAAAGGCAAAAAAGAGAAATCAACCATTACAACATTATTGACTATGAAATCAATAACCTCCACATGCATGCAGTCGACACCAATACAGACGGTGCAGATGAAGATTGTATTTGCAATGGTCAAAGCAAATATCACTCATAGAATGCTAATTTATGGATCAGACTATCTGGAAGTGGAAATGAAGAAAACTCCAATGCAGAAGATTAGGCATCCATCACGGACGGTACCATGCAGGGGCATGCGTGCATGCTGTTATGGTCTAAATACTCATAAGTCTAAAACCATTGATGTCCAATAGCTTTTATAGTAATAGCTGGATCTACTACCTCGTCCATTTATGTAAATTCTCTTGATTGATACGAATCATACTTTTTTTTAATACAGATGACAAACTCTGTGATGCAGCTCATGAAATCAAACATAGATGAATGCAGACCACCGAATACTTCCATACCTGTGGGTGGGTTGGAAGACCTCAGCCACCATTCTTTCTCTCTCTGTCGACATGCTGCCGTCAATGACACTAGCGGGTCCAAAAAGTAACGGCCTATGTTGTTGCAGCTGCGGTTGATGATATATATCTCTGATTACAGGTGCTCTCCCCTCTATAACATCTTGGCCATACGCTGCGGCTGCTAGTGCTGGGTTTCTAATTGTTCTTGCTTTAGATGCAGCTTCCTTGTGCCATGACTCTGCTTTTGCTTGTCTCTCGTCAAGAATACTTTTAGTCAGGGCCTCATTTCCAAGCTGTGGGGAAGAAAGTTCAAATGCAATGATCACGATAATGTCAGCCTCTGTATTACTTTATGATAACACTAGACGGTTCATGAACGGTTCGACAACGAACTTATAAACAGGTGCATGCAAGTGAAATTAGAACTCTTTTATTAATAAACTGTAGCACCTTGAACAAAACAGGAGTAACTTCTGCATACAAAGACGTACGTTGAAAAACAAAACAGGAAACAGTATCGTTGTGTTGAAAAAGTTTCAAAATATTTCAAAATTTGAACGTTATAATGTTCGAACGTTGCAATTCCGTGTTCTGAGCACAGCAAACGCAGAAGTTTTTAAAAATGATGGGAAAAACACGATGGTATCCGGAGAGTATTCTCAAAAATCATACCTTGCCCTGCACTTCTTGAATAGCAACTAGCATGTCTTCTTCCTTTTTGAGCATATCGACTAGGTCAAACGCCTGTTGAAAAGAGGGACAAAGTTTCGTGATTGACTGGGTGTATGATCATTGTATGCGATGTATACGATCGTGAAACCTAGATTGCTGTAGGTTATAGTGAACAATAGCAGCTGTGGTGAAATTAAAAGAGTTTTTCGAAGCAACCCTAAAGCGTTACTCACTGACTGATTGACTAAAATCCTCAATCGTTTTTGAGAAGTACAAGAAAAATGCTACTAACCTTGCACAAGAGATACGAGATCTGCGCGAACTGAGCCTGTAAAGCCACCAAAGAGGACAAAACAAATGTGAGAGTTGATACAGCATCTATCGATCAAAATTACTCAAAATTACACAAGCAAAAAGATGTTCCAGAGAGACACTGAATACATTTAAGTGACAATTTCTGCAAAGGTAGGTCGAATTTAAATACCTCTCGTTCTTCCTCGTCATCTTCATCTGGTAGATCTTCTTCTCCGTGCTCTACGTTGGAGGTTTTTGCGGCGGCTTGCGTTGAACGCCTCCGACGCTCCCTTCTCTCTTTTATCTCCTGCAGCTTGGACTCTGCTGCTTTCTGCCTCTTAAAACGGGCCACCTGAATGGGAACCTCCTCTTTTAAAACCGGGCCAAAGTCGTAACCTTCTACAAACATCCTACAAAGGCGAACATGCAGTCTATGATTCACATCCAACTTTCAGTCTAAAACATTTACTACACAGATGTGGGAACATGTCACTACATCAATGGTATGATTGTGCTAGTAAGAACTCTATGTTCGATGTTGGATAAAGCTCACTTTTTCACTTCTCCTAGTCTCGGCATTGGCAGGAGTATCCCTGGTCAAAGCTTCCAATTCTCCTCCAGGTACGAGATTCAAGTTATCACAATTACGTATGAATGCCTGTGAACAATAAGCAATCGATCGTAGCACCAAGTTAGACAAGGTGGCAATGATAAGACATTGTACAACGAAACTTAGGAAGCACCATAAAGACCCAACAACTCAAAGCCTTCAGCCGTTTGCTAGTCTTCCATCCAAGTATGTGTTCTTTCACTGATAATCTGTGGTGACACTAAAGTAGAGACCATGCAGAGTTCAATCGAAAGTATTACGCATCTCGAATTTAGTGTTCTCTTGATGTTTAGTGTATGACATACGATGGGTCACTCCGAGGTAGCAAAAAAATGACATTACCTCTTGAACCATGAGCACAAACACTCTAAACAGAGCAGCATAAAATTGTGTACATTCAAAGACTTTCTAAGGGCAACACGACGGCATCTAAAATGGTAGGTGACCACAATAACGACTCGAGAAGTTGCAATTTCGTACTTTCAAATTCGATTGGGAGGCCCTCACGATTTGCAATCGATCAGATGATGCTAGCTTCTCAGTAAAATCACCTAGATAATAAGGAACCTGTAAATGTAGAAAGAACCAAATTTAAAAGTACAAGAATGTCAGGTAAATAAACCACCAAAAGAAAGGACATAACAACATTTGAGAAGTCAACCTTTACATCTACAAATTACTTGAACGAACGAGCAGAATTCAAGGCAGCACAAGCTTTGAGCTAAACTATGGTATGCAAGGATCCGAAACGACAGAGCACAGACCAGAAAATATTTCAAATCCGCGGTGGATATATCTTCTTTCTCTTCATTTGTCGAAAATAGACCCAGCCTGTCAATTTTCTCCTGACATAACTCTAATAAAGCACAAGCTCGTCTTACTTGCTCCTGTTCTCACGACAGGCAACGTCACCATGTCAGCTTTTCAGCAGGCGAAAGATAATGACAAATTACAAAACTACACGAATGGCACTCATGATCAGAACCGTCAACATTGTCAACCACTAACAGTAACACTCAGAACAACAGAGAGCGCAGAAGAGTATGAAGGAAAATCAAGCCAATGCATCCGCAAAGGTTGAATCAAGAATAATGTTCGATTCCCCAACAAATCGGCCAGAAGGGCAATTTCCACAATTCCTCGTAACAACTGATAGAAGAGGACCAACATCACCTGTTGATTCGGACACAAGTACTACGGATCTCACGAATGGGATGAATGTATCAGACGGATGACAGCTTTCAATCTAACTAGATCCTCGTGGATAGTGGATCAACATTGCACTGAACCTACCGGCTCTAGCGTTGATGTCGTCGAAAGGTTATGCAGCTGTAAAGCCCGCTCGTATAGAGCCGGAAGAGGCGCATCCTCCAAAAACTCCTCTCCCATTCGAACGAGCGTTCTGTCCTAGATTTCAGATTGCTCTTTCACAACAAATCTAATGATTCTACCAAAATCGGCACGGAAACACGGAAAACTCTTCACTGCCTGATAGAACTGCTTCCAAAGATGGTTCACAACTTGACAAAAAAAGAGCGAAGGAGGAGAAAGTCAATAAGAATCGAAACTGAGTCCAAGCTGATGGAGGTTTGCTTAAGAGGAGAGACCGGACGTGATTCATGGAACACAGTTTGAACAATGTTGTTCTTCACTTGTAGGGCACGGCACAGAACAGGTCTCGCTAACTTAGAGGTCATTTTAGCGGTCACTCACACTTCAACGGCAGATGTAGTTTTAGATACGTCTTGTCTTGTTCTCCGCCTTCCGCAGGACCCTCGCCAGCGACTTTTCAGCGCGCGAAAGAAGACCTCCACTGAAGACATCATTTCCTTAGAAGTTCCGTGACTTTTGCACACTCGTCTTGCCCTCCATTCCCTTCCCTTCCCCCTCCCTTCCCTTCCTTCCGATCTCCCTTTTCTTGTTTGGCTCTGCCGACGAGCGATTGCTCTCTCTCTGTACGACAAATTTCGCATCGAACTTCTTCTCCTTCCTTCTCGCGTAGTTTCTAGAATATGCAATCAGGCTCATCGTCGAATGTCGTGCACTTAAAAAAGATATGGCGCATATGTTCATTTCTTCCTTCCGTCCTTTTCGTAGTAACGGGACGTCTTGCGGAGTTCTTTGTCGATGTAATTCATGATACACAATCGCCGACAAGCCTTGCAGTTGGGCATGAGTTTTCTTCACCATAAGCTTAAAGGAGAATGACGAGACGTACAGATTCCAAGGGTGAGTGAGTGACGTGCATGATACTAAGACTTGAAATCCTCGAAAAGTTTTGCAGTACGACCTTGCATTACTGCTCGAATCCGACATTTGGAATGTACCAAGAATCAAAGAAAGGTCCACATTGACTACGAAAAGGAGGTGAGAAGTACGGGGCTGGTGGCAAGAAAGTAGCTGCCTGACGAAACGCCGACGAAGTCAAGATGAGGTCTTCATGCGCCTGCCTGCCTTTTGTGCACTCGTGCGTGCTCGACATACTGTACATTCTATCGTATGTATTATCTTGAGACCTCATGTCTCATGAGTCATGAGACATGTGTATGTATCCTCCACCGCCTCGTGACCGAGACATACATAATCCACACATCGTAACCTTCTGATTTATTTCGGATGATTATTATTCCATTCAAAAAACATGTATTAGTATTCATTTTAAAGAGTTGTCGGCTTTTTCTGTCTTCTCTAATCAAATTTCATTTTATGAAACAAAATCAAATAGTAATTCGAGATCGGGACGTTATTATTTGTTAAATATAGATTTCAATTGTCGTTCCTTGATATATGACTATACGTGGAAAAATAAATCATCTTACTGCGAAACGATTTACATGGCCATGGGCTAAACAAATGGAAGTTTTAAGTGTATGTGGCGATCAAAATATACAGTTCTAAGGTTTAAATAATTATATATATATATATATTCTCAGGTTATTATGATAGTGGATGATTATCTAATTATTAAAATGTTCTATATTTCACTTTATTTTGGATATACATCAAGTTTTTTATTCATAGAATAATCACGTAGATCATAACAAATAAAAAAAACTTTTTTAGTAATTTTTTAAACATATTTCTCATTGCCATTATACAGAGACGAGAATATTGTTTTTTAATTGGGTATCACCATATTTTCTCAATTCACATGGCCCCCCTCTTACTTTGTTTGTGGGGGATCCTCGGGAAAGGTAAGCGGCGCCATAATAAGGATCATGCAACAAGTAAGCCCTCCAAACGAAGACGTAGATAACGCCTAACAGATCTCCACCTGACCGACTGAACGACAACGTCCGCGTCGGAATAGCGTCACCGGCGATCGGGATAACCCTCTGTTACCACATGTCAAGCCGGCGGTATCTGGAGGGGAGACCAGACGGACATGGGAGACACCGCGAGTGTTGTTCGGCCCGGGCTAATGCGAATCGCTCTATTTCAAATTCCTCCCCGGCCCTTCTTACAAAAAGGGGCAAGGACGGCCCGTCCTGGACGGGGCTACTCGGATTCGACTGCCGGCCTGTGAACAGACAAGGCTCCGATACGTTGTCGGCTGAATCCGCTAACCACGTAGAGGTCGGCTTGCCACCACGTCCGGCAGCATGTACACGCAGTGGCTTACGGGGTTGGACGAGAAGGGTTCTCAGTGACTAATCTAAGGAATAAAAAAAAATAGATAATAAAGCGTCGACGACGCAGGTTTTGGAGAGAACCCGCTCCTGGATCCCCCGTAAGCAGGTCAACGAGTGCGAGTCGCCTTCCTCGGATGTACCTCGGCTCGATGGAGTTTCGTCGAAGATTGCCGAATTGGCATATGCCGATGGATATTTGGAACGAGAATGTCTCCCCTTGTTCTGACATGCAGACGAAGATTTAAACCTAGATTGTGATGATTAATTGGAAAAGTCTTGAAGTTGAGTCGTAAGCTCGTTTGTAACGTGGATGAGCTTCGGAGGATTGTACGTGTGAGACTGGCGGATTTCTCGAGGAGGAGGAGGAGGAGGAGGTCTCGATGGGTTTGATGGGTTCGATCGAAGAATTTGGGGATTGGGTGAGGAACATTCATCATGAAGACGACGGCGATAAGCAATGGGGAGGACACGGAGAAATCTTGTTCTGGATCTTTGTTTTGTTAGCGCACGTAGGACTGGTTGTGTACGCTTCTTGGAGACTTGCGGAGAGGCACACGGAGGCCACCGGATGCTCCGTGATGGTACCAGTGAAAGTGGATGCAGCTCTGCCGACGTCTTCTGCTTCCGGCGAATTCGAACTCTCCACCACCATGACTAACAGGAAAAAGGGCAGAGGGATCCCTTTCTTTCGATAGAAGGTTGATGGATTCAAACTTTGGGGATGAGATTTTGAAGCTTTCGTAGCACCGAATGCAACCCAAACACGGCAATTCAACAGCCCAAGCAGTCTTCTGGAGCACTTCAGCAGAGGAACAGATTCGTAGTATCTGAATTAGGACCGTGATATTCAGCTGAAAGTGCGGGATCCAGAGTTGCATTTCGAGTGTATCCACTGTCTGTCAAATTGGTTAGAAAATTGAGGTGCAATTTGGTGACGGGATTGCACCTGCACCACCTCCATTTGGCCACGGTTTCCTTGTAGACTTTGCTCCATCCAGAATCAGAAGCTGGATCTGTACATGATGTGTGGTCTTCTGACTGATTCATCCAATATGAAACGGATATCAATCACCAGGTTCTCAGTTCTGTGACTTTGCATCATCAAACTTCCTTCCGATCCGAGTGCGCAATGCATCCGCACTCACCCAAATTTCACCCCAGAACTGTCCTACAATGTGGCAACGAGCTTCTATTGCGCTCTGTTTGAAGCTCCTCGGGCTGGCACACCTTGCCACTCGAGGCCTCCCTCCCGATCTGCGCGGTGAATAAACTCGAGGGAAAACTTCGACAAATGCGTGGACTCGGTTCTCCGAAGCAGATTCGAATGCTGTGAGAACTGTTACCAGCAAATGATGATGTCAGGCTCTTTCTTACACCGTGTCGTTGTATGTGAGAGAGATAACGAGGTTGGAATGCATTAAACTTGAATGCATTCCAGGTCCCTTTAATGATTAAAGGGACCTGGCCGCTGGGTGCTCATGGCCTGCCGATCAGCACGGTGCATGCATGAGTGTGACGACGCAACCCTGCAGATCATGCCTTCATGGATTCCTCGTGAGTGAGTCGAGAGTGTGTTGACGAGACTTTCTACGGTCAGACTCCAAACTGTCAGAGACTGTCGCTTGGATCCGCTGGTGCTTGACTGACTGATCATTCAGTTTACACTGAAGCCCATTCATGACCACGAGTCGGCACAAGACAGTTTCAGCAAGTCGATCAGGACTAGTGATAGTTACATGGGATTCTTTTTCATCCTTCCTATGGAGAATTGTCAAGCATGGAATAAAGAAGACATGCCACCACATCCTCAATCACACAAATTACATCATATGACTCATACGTATGAATTAAACAATCCACAATGTGTTGTAGGTCTCAGTGTTTTCTGTAGCATTCGTTAGATATTTGTACAGTATACAGTTTGCTAGTGTTCTACTCATCTTTATGGAAGGTTTGATTTAATCGAATAGTTTAATTCAATTGGGTTTAGTCTTAATCGTCTTCAACTTCATAATCGTCTGGTTGGTTGAGGTGGTATTTCTATTTATTCTTCCTCCAGTGCCTCGTCCCGTTGTGAACATAAAGGACATACGTAGACAGAATGTGTCACTATGTATGCTACTGTGTTGAGGCAGCATTGTTGTAAAGCTACATCAGTATTCCTTCGTTTGACCAGCAAAAACTGAAACTGACCTTTTAGCAAAAATTGACCTTTCAGCATATACATGAACTTGATTATGTAGATTTGAGGTGTATGAAAATAATGAATTGGGTGACATATAACAAATCGCGAGGAATGGATTCGCGACATACTGACAGAATTTAATCTCTGGTAGAAGTTACACAGAATACCATTATTGCGAAGTCCACTTCGTCGATGTGATCGGATACTTTTCTTTTAAAAAGTTTGACATCCTGGTGCTGTACGTTCAATTCAAATTGAACACATATGGAGTGAATCGCATGAGTTGAAATGTAGTGTTGCGTAACACCATCTTGACTCTAAACTTACAGTACACACGTGTGGGTATTTCCGAAATTTTAAGATCCCACAAAGGAACTTGTAAAATAGAATCTGAGTGCTGCGGTTTGAAACCTTCAAGTCCACTCACACCCTGTAACCAGCCATGAGAAGGGCCATCTTAGTTGAGAAAATTTCAAATTCCAGTATTGAATTTTCAGTGGCCGAATTTCACATTACTTCTTCTACTCCTTACAAACTACTGAGAATGAGAACTTACGAGGATTTTCAATGATCTGTCAAGGCATATAGTACGCTGAGTCACTTCAAAAATACTTTTGGGCTCACATGGCTTTCAATGCGTTGAAAAGAGACATGAAAATCTTCGAATACCCATGACTGTAACTATCACAGTAATCTCTATACCTTCTCCGTCCAAAATTAGATTACTTCCGGAATGGGTGCTTAGTAAGAAAGACGAGGCGCGCTTTGGATTGTTCAGACTACATGGTTTCGTTCTAGTGCACAAACTATGACAGTTATACTCATGTTGTCAAACCTGGTGAGATTGGGCATGGCTCTAGTGACCAGACTTGACGAAGAGATGATCTCGGGTCAGATGGTGTTGGGCGTTCCGCCAGTACCAACCCGACCTAAAGTCAACCTTTAGCAGTACACATCAGATCGTATGGTAGGAGCTCATCACACCAACATATATGCTTCAGGGTGAACGCTTACCCAGAAAAAGTGAAAGGAGATGTGAGTTTTGCTTTGGATGGTTATTTGATTGATAAAAGATACAGGTTGCGGTATCTGCAGACTGGTCATTTCAAGCAGCTTGGTAGCCGTACCTTTCGTCCCATTGAGGTAAGTATAGCGTACCCGGACATTTCAGACATGAAAGGTAAATCAAGTGTATGGGATTGAACATCTTGAGCTTCTAAGGAAGAAAAGAAGTTTTCACTTGCGTCCAGCCCTTCGACATTAGACAACAGACAACGCGAATGATAAACCATAACCTCGTTCCGAGAAAACAATTTGAATCTTGACAAGCTAATGGCACCACAAAGTTCGTCAACTATGAAGGTCCATTACCAAGCTTGCAAATTCGAAGCCACTGTCTTCTTCACACATCCCCGTCATCGAATCAACGTCTTCGCATCAATCAAACCGATCATAATTTGGGGTCTTTGACAGATGCTGCAATGAAGAAACAAGTAGACTGAAACAATCAGCTCCAGCATAATGTTGACTGCAGCCAAGGCTGATTGCAAGTGGTCAAGATTAACGTCGTTCGGCTACCTTCAAAGAGTATGTTCACACGTGCAGATGTACCAGGTGCATGCATGAATATAGTCATAACGGACATTTTACGTCTTGGAAAGCGATAACTATGTAAGTGGGCACCCACCTTTGTCCCATAGGTCAAGTAGAACGTTGTGTACTTGTGTGTGTACGTGCCTCGGCTGCCTGGCGTTGGTTAGTTCGCCAAGATAGGATCTCTACGAACTTCGTTTCAAGCGTACTCTGTAAAGCATAAGGGGAGGCCAGCATACACGGAGTACGTCAGGACGGATATACGGTTGATTCAAAAACATTTCACTTTGCAAGTATGACCACTGTCAACAAGCCAAGTGTAGTGCCAGAATTTGCAACAACTTTTCCATGACAAGAATTTGACAAAACACGAGCTCATAAGAGACTCATGATGATCTGGTGTCAACCTTCTTATGAAGATGCGTGCACATAAGATGATATGGTTTCTCTTCTTCGATACCATGAACATGTTAGGACTGACCATTAGCGCTTATACATAAATCGAGAAATTCTTACACGTCAAATAACATACTCCGGCTCAAGATTGTGGAACCAACCTTGCCGAGTGCCTCGATTGCGAGTCAGCAACCTCAGCAGGGCACTGGGAGAATCAGAAGGATAAGATGTGGTTCTGAAAGTTAAGCACACGGTAATGAAGTCAAACTGACGGCGAACTTTTAACTTTTCGATGAGTATAATTGATCAGGTTCTATGTGACCATCCATGCGATGGTTTTACTTTAAGGGCTGAAAGTATATGCTTATCCATCACATGGTACATGGCCCTTGTTTGTAGGAAAGGACCATGAGTTCTCCTGTTTGAAGCATTTGGCGATGAAGGCCATGAAATACTGAGCTCCAGACCATTTGAAGTTGCACTTAAGATAGTGAGAACAACAAACAAACTGATCCTAAAAGAATCCGTAGCACACGTACTTCAGAAAAACAAACCGGCTGAAATCTTGATATTACTGAAGATACTGAATATACATAGAAGTACACGACGATTTCTCCACAACACGTAAAACAACGTTAGCCTTGAAAGCTGTAATATCCTCAGTTAAGAATCTAAGATGAGACATTACGACTACCCGAGTGGTAATGAACATTGTTGCGATGCTGGATTCAGCAAGAGTACTTCCAGTACTCTTGCTAAGCAGTAGCATAATAAAGCTGGTGTGCTGTCGGGGTCCTCCAGAATGGATGCTGCCTTTGAAAGAAAAGCTTATGGAGACAAGAAGAAGGCAACCCAGGGAGCCACGATAGGCAGGCTTGTTATCTAGCCTCATTCCAAAGCCTCATACTGTTCCGAGTTACGGTACGGTAGTCTACGAAAGTCCAGAGCAACTTCAAATCTCAAAATCAATATGCAAGATAACCACTAGCATGAGAGACAGAACGAGGCTACTGTGGTACTGATTCTTAGCAAAAGGGAGAAGACCGATATAGCATCCTCACCTTGTGGACTTTATCGATGTGATAATACAACGTTCATTCCGTTCCCAGGTTAGAGGGTTAGCAAAGTTTTATATCAAAGGGAAAGTACATCTACAGCTGACTGTAGAATGTTGTCCTGATGTGCCTTCCACTCCCAACCTGGATCGAGATTTTCGAGCAGATTTTTTCTTCCTGTCCGCTGGAGGGACAGGGAATGGGATGAGGTGGTAAAAAGTTTTGATAGAACGTATTAATTGAGCATCGCTCAAACGCAGTTGTTTAACGAGATGTGTAAAAAGGCTTCATTAATTGTACACTCAACAAGCAGACTATCGGACCATCAGACTTACCATAATTGAACAGCGTCAGGCTTGCGTTACATCGTCCGTGCCTTCCATGGCTTCCATAGCCTGAGCAAGAATTTGCTCCGCCCTTTTCCTCTTGTCGTCCTTTTCCTCGTCTTTCCCTTGGGACGACACTTTTACCTTCTCTTTGGCGGGGGACTGCTTGAAAGCACCAACACTGAGTTGCGCAGCTAGAGCCTTGACACGGGCCTTCTTACCCCAATCGAAGCTCAATAGAACGGGTCGGCGATCTTTGGCCTCCGGCAATATATTAGAACCCTGGCCAGCATCCAGACGATCTACTCCAAGTTTTGCTGCCTCAATGGCCGGGGCAAAAGTTTCAAGAACAGATGGCAAAGAAACTTTCCCCTCTGCCTCACCCTGTCTCCCCATGGAATCACCTATTCGGCCAGGAGAAGTGATTGTTGAAACCTCTTTCTCTCCTGGCGGAAATGGAGAAGCCAAAAAAGGGTTTTGACCAGCTGCCACTCGCTTGCCCTTGCCTTTGCCTGCCTGGCCCTCTGCTTCTAACTTCGACAAAATTGCTTCCTGCTCACTAGTCGGAGGCCATTGCTGCCTGGAAGGCAAGGCAGGAGACGGAGGAGGGCGACCAAGTGGAATCGAGGATGAGTTCCCCACACTCGCCCGGATAGCTGCCAACGCAGTAAAGGGAACAGTCGTTCCACCGGCAGAAGAGGAATTAACGAGCGAGTCCGGCGGAACTGGAGACTTGGTGGTAGCTCCACTAGAAGAAAGTCGTAAGTGCAATGACACAAGAGATCGTTCAGCCTTCCGGCGCTGCCTCGCAAGCTCAAGCTTGTCCAGCCGAGGATCACTTTTCCTCTCATCCCAAACTGGAGTAGACCTGTAAGTATGAGGATCTGGAAACGCGGGCAACCAGGGGGGAATGTGGGGATACGGGGGTGTTTCTCCTAATTGTAAAAAACTTGGAGGAGCTGCTCGTTTCTTTGAAACAGGGAAATGAGGAAGAGGTCGTGCAAAAGGGATCTCTTCGCTGTACTCCACATATCGGATCACTTCTTGCAGGGCTTTAGAGCTTGACAGTGGACGATTACTGTCAGCGGCAGATGTTGGCCCAGTGCCGACATCCTCCATGGCCATAATAACGTCGAGAGCATTGCATTGCGTTCGGCCTGCAAGGTTCGCGTAAAAGTGTGCAGCTTTCGCTAGGTCAGTGAGGTACCGAATCGCTATATCAGCCAAGGTTTCACCGGCCGAGCGCTGTATGGCGTGAAAGCCAATAGCTTCACACAACTGCGAGACCCCAATCTTGGCCACGGCACGACCAAACTCATCACCTGATCCGCTCATTGCATCATCCCTCTACAGGCTCTCACAGTCACCCCAAAAAACAGTCCTGCTCCCACTCCAAAGAGCTCTAATGGGTCACAAAAACTGCCTGACTATTGGCTCCTGGCACCACTCCGATATCACATCGTGCTCCCCTCGACCGTAGACTAATCAGTCCAAAACCTGTGAAGTTCCAGAGTGATTCCTGTCCATGAAAAAAGCTCACAAAACCCTCACGAAGAAGCACCTATTTCCCCGTCTGCCTCAAACCAGCGAAGAGATCCGCAAGATTCCAATATCCTCCGCGAAACCGTAAAAGTCGCTCATTCTCCGAGTCCGAAGCTTCCAAACTCCATCCGCATTGTTCTGCAAATGCTCCTTCAGAGAAATGGCGTCGCGGACTCCGAACTTTCGACAGGCAGAAAGAAACACTTCCTACACGAGCGAGCACGACGGTCTCGAAGAGAAATGAGCACCGTCACTTACACAGAACCTCGGCCCGAACTAAGGGCATCCAGCGCCACGGGCCGAGCACGAAACCTGCGCATCACATTCGAAATTCTCAAATTCCTTCCCCGCCCGATTTCTGCGCCGAGCTCGCCCGTCCGCATCAACACCTCGTCGACCCCGCGCACTCTCTCTCCTCTCATCACGCCCTGCTCCGGTCGATGTCCGCCATCGCAAGCACGAGGCTAAGGGCAACGCCGACGAGAACTCCCGGCGCCTGCCCGTGACCTGACCAGACCAGACGTAACCCAACACGCAACCCAAACCCCAATCGAACGAAGAAGCGCGACGAGCCCAGAGGCGAACCCCGACGCTCCTCCTCTACTGAACCATCTCGGCCACCAGCGGCTCCAGGCGGACTAACTATAATTATCACCATTTATAATTAAAATGAATTTACTTTCGATTTACAACTTTTAATTAATAAAAAACGTCATTTGGAACTAGAAATAATACCTGCTGACTCCCTGGCGGGCGGGCGAAAGAGCGGGCGTGGTGGGTCCGAGGTCTCGGTTTCCCCTTCCCGCCGTAACGGTCGAGAGTCAGAGGTCGAGGCGGAGCTTTCCTTTCGTCCGTCACTGCGACGGAAGGAGTCTGCACTCGGCCGTACCGGAGGGTTCTTTGGGAGTTCCGCCCCGTCCCCTCCCGCGCCAGCGTGGCACCGAGTCACGGGAGTTCGCGGGCATTCCGGCGGTAACAGTTAGGGAGGGAGGGGGAGAATGGCTCGGCAGGGGAGGTCAGCGTTAACCCTACCGGGGGAACGAGCGCGACGAGCAGGTGTGCGAGCAACGTCCGGCGAGGAAGGACGGTCGCATTGCCGGACGCTGATTGTGAGTAGAAGGGATTTTCTTGTACAGCACGCGAATCGTGCGTGCGTGCGCGTACGAGGGTCCCGAATTGCAATTTCCCGAGGAGATGCTCGTCGTGTTGATCGATTGATTGCTATCGAGAGCGGTTGAGGGCCGATTGGCATTTGGGCTCGGTGCTGGTTTGTTGGTCTCGATGGCGGCGTCGTCGGGTTCGATCCCTTCACCTCCTGCTTCGATGAGTAACAATTCTCCGGATGCGACACCTCCTTACAGGCCTCCTTCGTTCGAAGAGATTCAAGCGCAAGATATGTTCAACAATTGTGCTGTTCGCACTGCCCTCAGCGGCGTTATGGGTAGGTGAATTTCGTTCAATTGGGTTCATGAAGATTTGTGAATCTGCTTCGTCTTCTCGATGGCGAGCGAAATCTGTCTCGAGTGAATACTTCTATTTTGTCGTCTGTCCGTAAAGTAGGTCATCTAGCTCTGATGTCGTTGGGTCCATTTCTTTGTCGTGAAAGCTTATCATCTGGTCACCCTTCGTTTTGGACCCGGCATTCATCTCATGGTGGATTCATAGGTGATGGACACATGTTTGTCCAAATTCGGTCATGACTTCTTGGTTGTTACCGGTCTGATCATCACACCCCGAACTAGCTTAGATCTTCTCATGTTCTCAACACATTCAATTTCAGCGAACTTGTCGTCACAGTTAGCAGTAATAACCTCAGTGGCAGCCACTGGGACAATTTAAGGCTGAACACACGACCTAACAAAAGTTTCGCAAGCAGGTGTGATTTGAATCTTACGAAGGTCAATGAATCTTATTTTAGTATTGAAAGCTTTGCCACTAGAGCGGGACTGATATCATGTGGTAATGATTTTCCTACTCAGGTGGTGGCATGGGAATTTTGATGGGTGGACTTTTCGGAGCTTTGGAGGTTCCATTGCATACCGAGACAATGACAACGAAACAGCAAATTCTATATCAAGCTCGGGCGATGGGCAGCAAGAGTAAGAGTATGGCTAAAGCGTTTGCCGTTATGGGAGCCATATTTTCCGGAGTGGAATGTGTAGTTGAGAAGGTAAGAGTTGTGCATTGTGAGTGATGGATTTAATGGGATCGAGTTCTCAATGACGTAAAATTTCAAGTGGAGAAGGGCTCTGAGTGAGAATTGCGTCCAGCTACTATAAGTTTGTGAGGCATGTCCAGTTTATCAAGCCCTAAATGAAATGGAGAAGTCTATGGGAGGTCTTCTCCATTTGATTCTGAAACTTTTATGCAAACAGTGCCTGACAACTCGGAGCTGGAATCTGTTGTTGACCCGGGATTCGCATTTCCTGAGTCATAAACTCAAACATCTGTCCACAATTTATGGTCTCTGTGACGCAGGAGAGATTGCTGAGGATTGTATGATGGAGCTGACCCAAATTGCACCGTTGTGCTGGGCTGACAACTGCAGGCACGCGCGAAACATGATATGACAAATACTACAATCGCTGGCTGCGTGACTGGTGGAAGTTTATCTGCCAGAGGTAAGTTTGTCCGCTCTCCTCACTCTACGTCCGGTTGAAGATAATTTTTGCACCATATGCAAAACAGCAAATAATTCGAATTCAATTTGAGATGCTCGTGGAAAATTCTTGCGTTTATTTATTTGTCTTTTGGTTATTTGACTGGGCTCGCAAGAACAAAACACTTACATATGTGATAGGCTTGTTCTTTCGAAATCCACATCATTGTTTACAGAGCCTGTAGTGCTTTGTTAGTTACATTCGTCTGGAAGTCTTGTGACTGTCAAAGTTGTCTCACACAAGGATTACATTGCGTGTTTTTCAGCTGGACCTCAAGCGGCATGCTTAGGATGTGCAGGATTTGCCGCCTTCTCAGTCGCCATCGAGAAACTTTTGGACCATTGATTAGGTTATACTGGAGCTAAGTTTTCTGAAAGATGAGAGGTATAAACAAAATAAATAGTAGGCGGGAAATTCTGATATATTTTCTGAGGTGGTAAATCAACATTCAGGAAGATGAGATTATTTGCCCCATAATTGGGAAGCTGAGATTTGATCAGGTTATGGTGGTGACCTTTTGTATACGGGAGTTAAGCTGGCTGCACCTTACATGGTGATGTAGTTCGTGATGTTGACAAAATTCGACAAATTACTTGTTAGGATTAAGTTCAGGCAAGATGAGGCACTTGTGCAGTTCAGAAAATTGGCACTCTCTGTGCCAGGGATGTTCCGTAGCATTTTTGCAATTTAATCTGGAACTCAAGGCAATTTTGACCTAGCATGTTTTCCTCCCAGTCAGGAAGTGGTGAAAGTCATCCTGGCCTCTCCAGATTGTGGCATGCTTCCAGTGGCCAGATGTTCACATACTGGCACAGCTGGAAGGCTTTAGGTGATGTATGAAAATTGGAGATTTCAGTTCTCCCTTCAGCATAAATTCTGAGCTTTTCCACTTTCTACCAGTGCCAGATAAATACCATTCAAACTCCACTGACTTCGGGTCCGCTGCTACCACAAGAACCTGGTTCAATTTCTGTAAATAAATTGTAGGAGTGTTAACACACTTCAAGCCATGTGGATTAACTTGTAGAGCCGCTCGATCCAAGCCCTCACATTGCATGACATCTGACATGAATTGCGCGTAACAAGGATCGTATCATGGTCTCAATGGAGACCGAAAGCTGCACAGTGGAAGAACTTTCTCATGGCGGTGGAGGCTGCCATCACGAGAACTGATTCCAGACTCCACGGCACAGAGCATCATGGGGCGAACGTGTCATGGTTGCAATGAGAGGAACCAACTGTCTACACTTTTCTCTCAATCTAGGACAGGAGGAGCGCACGGAATGTAATGGCCACAGTGCTGTCGGCTGATGAAGTGCCGCCTCAATTTACTTCTTAATTCCGCGACTCTCTGGGTCGTGGACACTCAAGGTCTGCGCACGATCGGCCGAACTCCTCGGAGGCATTCAGGTGTCTTGACTTGACTCGGCCTGCCTGCCTATTGTGAGAGGGCACCGGAACACCACAAGCATTCATCGATGAAAATAGCCGGATCTTCCTTCCAGGTACCAACGAGGCGGCAGGAACTCTTGAGTCGACGCAATCGGTCATCCCCATGACCGGCGCCGGGCATTCACTCCAAGATAGTCATCCTGCAAGTTGCTCCAACTTCCTCAGCCCATACGGTAAAGAATTGGAGCCTCCACACATGCGGGCGAACAAGAATGAATGCTCCCGCTCGGTCATAAGGCCAAGGCTTTCTTGGTGCGTTCGACGCTCGCATCGATATCGTCTGTGGGGTTCTGGCAATGAATTCGTTCGGGTAGATGGGAATGCTAGAGAAAATGCCCTTGCTCTTCACAGAGTGGAATGCTGAAGACAGAAGCACGGCACGCGCAAGGAGAGAACAAAGCAGATTCTCTGTCCGTGAAACATTTTATAATGGAAAGAAAATGGACCGAAGTGAACATGTATCACAATTGTGCGGCCGGAGCGTGTGCGGGAGAGATCAGTACGGCTACTGGTGGCCTGTCAGAAGAACTATCTCAGATCTCTGCTGATAAAGCTCGAATACTAGTATATGGTCCCCGATGCGGGGTCTGCATTCATTCATCATCATCATCATCACATCCTACAGCGACGTCGAAGCTACAGAAACAGCAAGTTCTGCTGAAAATTCTGGACGTCTGTCAAAGTGGTCGAGAGAGGTGCACGTCGGGCAAGTGAAGTAGAAAACGGTGGACATTATGTCGTCGAACAGATACACGAAGGAGTGCATGAGAACGAGCAGCGGGCCTTCCCACGCCGCCGAAGAATTGTACTCCGTGTAATCGTTGGTGCCTGTGACCCGATGTTCGAACAACAGGCTCAAAAATGCTCCACAAGAGGCTGTTACTACGTAGGACCAGAAGGCCACTTGCATTCTGCCCTGCATGAGGAGCAGCGTGCGCAGGAGGGCTCTGAAGCCGAAACTGTCCTCCAGCACGCAGGTGACGGTGGCGATGTTCAACAAGATCTGTACAAATACAAAAAATCCGCAGCTAAGCAGCCCCAGGGTGCCGACCAGCACGAAGGCTATGACGGACGACACATGGAGTGCAGCGAAAACTCCGTTCAGAAGGGCCATTCCGAGTGCAATTGCTGCACCCGACGCCACAAAGATGAAGCAGGAAGCGACGTAAGTCATGATGAGGCGAATCCACACTCGCGGCACCACTCGATGGAGGATGTCACCGAGGGAAACCTTGAGCCCGGCGTATGTGGAAGCCACGGTATACACGACGCCAGCTTTGGCCAGACAATTCACTGTCACGGCGAGAGGAATGTTCACCGCCGACGTGACCAGAAATTCAGAGAGTTTTTGGTATATGAATTTCATGTAAGGAGTATGGAACTCGACGGCCACCGATCCCTCGAGCACGAACGCCTCAAGACGGATTGCTAACCAATCGATTATTTTGTGCGTGACCAAAACATGAGTGAGGACGATGATGGAGATGGGACAGATCAAAACTGCGGTTAGGGTTGTGAGAAGATCCGAGTGCCTTCTCAGTAGTCTTGCGGCCTCCCTCATCACGTCGAGAGTGTCCAAGGGCAGCAGGCCATTGAATCTCTTTCGACCTCTGTGATTTTCTTCCCTGGGCTGCACGCGGTCGGACGTAGATGAGTGAGTGGAATCGACTCCCGCGCAATGCCGATGGTGATCAGTAGGGAGCAAATTCGCGGATTCTAGGCCTCTGGCTTCGGATTCGGACAGAGGAGAGGAACCGTACACATCCGCCTGCAGCAGTCTCGCTTCCCCGTTCGTCAGAGGAGGATCGAAGACGGGCGCCAGCGTGTGACTCAACCTGCCTTCCATCGAAAGATTCATCCCTCTCATCGACAGATCAGTGACCGTATTGAATGCAGCATCCGACACCGATCTCCGAGAAGCTCCTCCGCTCCCAGGTCATCTCCCTTCGGCCAACGAGCACCGACGACTACACTGAACCGCAAAAGCCTGAAGCTCGACGAGTTCTCATAATCATCACCTCCTCGTCAATCAAAGCCTCGACGCCCGAACTCGAGTTACGCGCCATCCCAGCTGCTCTCCATCGCCGAATCTACCACCAATTCCTCGACCCACCGATCTGCGCGGATCCAAACACTCCCACCACCTGCCAAATTGACACTACGGGAATATTTTTCTCTCCGATCTTGCCATTTCGAGCCTCGCGCTTCGATTCTCCAACCGGGCACCTGGCCGGACAGGACAGCTCCTAGAAGACTCCCACAGGCCTCAAAGCAGCTCTTCCTTCCGCCCTCGGTATCCCGAGGATTGCCAATACCTCCCACGATCTCTTGTAAGAGCCCCACCCAGCAATCAATCAACCAATCAACCAACCAATCAATCTGCCGATCGAAATCATTCAAGCATTCGCTTCTTGTGATCTGCTGTGAGGTTTATGTTCGCCGCGTTCAGCGTTGTGGACTCACTCGATCCGAGGACACGAAAGCCGATGCGCACGCTCTGCTTCTCCCTCACTCTCGCACTTCCTTCCTTCGCTTGCTTTGCTTGTGTCGTCGCCATTCCACGACGGCACAGTGGCGGACATGTGTTTCGTTCGCTGGGCACAATTGCGAATGCATCTTCCGCCTTCGGATGCTTGGCCTGAACTGTCGGTCGGTCGCGCAGCAGCAGCAGCCCTAGTCCCGACGCCCCGATCCAGGAGACCAGGACCGAGAGACACTGCAGCAGTGACTGACTGCAGGCACGCTCCATCGCAATCCATCAAGGCGGAACGAGTCCGTGGTCACGACTTGGTCAATCTCCGCACTCGCTCCGCTGCCCGCCGGCGCCTGTGACGGTCCGCTGTCTATCTCCGGTCGACGCCCCGTCGTCTGCCCCCCGGTCACTGCGGTCGAGTGCGGTCTGTTCAGGGCGTTCTGTAATGCAGAGTACCCTCTCCTTTTCCTTTAGATTAAAAAACAATGACAGTGGTGAAAAGGCAGGCCTAGGCAATCCGGAGAAACCAGTTTAAGGCCGGAGAGAGGGAGAATCCCTTTTGACGTCCTTTCTAAGTGCAAGTTGTAATTGCATTTGATAGAAGCCGATTTTGTGCACTGAATTTGCCAACATTCAAAGTTGGTTCTAGGAGTATGACAAACCATTATTTCCGAATTATTAAAGGCTCCGGTTTATAGATAATAAAATATATACTATATTTATCGTGGTCGGGAGTGACTGGAAAAATTTTCCTCTGTTTCATAATCAGTAACATAGGGAATTCTCACATGGAAAATAAAAGATGTCACTATTTTCAAGTATTTAATCCTAGAGAACATTTCACACGCTTGCTTCACAAGATGAAGCTATCATATACATTACAGTTGAAGTCAAATAAATTTACTCATTTCATAATATATGGACGGAAAATTGTTTCATATAATTCTTTGTACACACAAGTTCTATGGCTTACGCTATCCGCTTAGTGTATGGTACAACCAAATTACATTGATCATAAATGGTACTCTTGTTATCTCGAGTATGAGTACATTGTATTATGGTTTGAAAAGAATGCAAGAAGTCTCATTTGAAGACTTTGTACATCTATGACGATCTACATGCACTAAAACTCTTCAGAATTCTATGTACAATACATGTCAGATGTATTTCATATACATATTGTGTATGAAAAAGAACCAAGAGTGTTAGTTTGCATTAAAATGTGTTTATATGTTTGTTAAAAACTATGTTTTTATGACAAGTAGTTATCAATTACCATTTTTTATTTTTTGTGTGATCATATAATGGATTTAAATTACAAGCTTGCATTTTTGTGCACGATGATATCAAATTTATTCCATGATAAGAAGTTTCTATTTTCGTCTTAAGATTATATTTTTGTGATGCTAACTCTTCAACAAATTCTGGAATATAAAATTTGAGTTGATTTTAACACAGTATAGTATATTAAAAATAGAGTGAAAGATTATATGCCCTCATGGATTAATTATAATATATAATATAATTTTAAAATAATTTTTTGTATTGTAGCAGAAATGGTATGATTGTGAGTAAGAAAGCATATGTAAGATTAATATTGATCTTAATGTAATTTATGATGACTCATAACTAATAATATTTTAGATTTTTCTTTAATAAAATGAAATTTTTTTTCTTATTCATTTATATATATATATATATATTATATCCATATATATTGCATTGTGAATCAACGTAAATTTTCAAAAAAAAACTTTTTAAATTGCAATTAATTTTCATGATTCTTTAGGTTATGACATTTCCAAATTGTAGATTGAGTGTTTGAACTGATTCATGATATTGATGATATATTTTCAAAGTTTTTCTTCTCTAGCAAGAATGGAAACTGACTTGAATTAATGCATAAAACAATCACTCATATACATTAAGATATGACAAATCATGAATTTGCAATACATGAACAAAATTTAAAGCTATTAAAGTGTATTCTAATATCTTTTTATATAACACATCTATGTTCTGTATATAATGATCCACATATCATATTTGAAACATGAAAAAAAATTTAGTCTCTTTTTGTTGTCTTGTATGTTTGGATATGCTTATTTTTGTTAGTAAATTTAATAGAATAAATGAATGATTGAATTTAAACTTACTCTTTACTTTATTTGTCCTGATCATCAGGGATAATAAAGTTCCATAAATTTATGGTTTTTTACAAAAAAATTTATAGATTAAAAATATGACACTAAATTCAAAAAAAGTTTTTCCAATAATCATCTTAAATTTAATTTACGTGATAGCCAAAACTCCAATTGAAGCTATATGATGTATATTTTTATTATTTTGCATGAAGTAATAATCTAATGCAGTCAATAATGATGTTCATACAATCACACATGTAATATAAAGTAGTAAAAACCACACAACTTCATATATAATATGGTGCAAATATATTAGATGAATGATTGTTTTGTCCAATAGTTTATGGAGCATGATTGAGTTTTTTATTTACTGTCAAAAAATATACTTCTTTTCTGTGAATGAAAATTATGAAATTAATGCAAAAAATGTAGATACAAAAACTAACTTTGCAAATACATTCATCAGATAAGGTTATAACATTTGAGATTCAATGAATGGATTTATCTATGTAATATTCGTATGTTTCGTATAATTGATAACAAAAAAGTACATTAATCAGATCAAATGATATCAAATGAAAGATTTTGTTGGTTTTATTCTGTTTTAAGGTAATGGATATGTAGTAAAAAAACAGATACCATCAATTTTAGTTGATACACCAATTATATAGCTATGAGTTTAAGATTTTCAAGATTGATAGAAAACCTAACGAGTTGAATCTATCACAATAATGCATTTGAAGACATTTATACAAACTGAAAACTTAGAGCATTTCACATGAATAATATATTTTTAAATTTTAATGTAGAGTTTATACAATAAGCTGAAAATAGAGTACACCTTTTGTTGATCCTTCCGACAAGAATAAAAAAAATATTTATAAATAATATCATCTCTTATTAATCAACTTTGGCTTAATCACAGTAGATCATCCAATTTGTGTAGTTTGTATGTAAACATTCAACATTGTGACTTGTGAAATTTTAGTTATAATGAAACGACATTGCATGTGAATATGAAGTATTGTGTACTTTAATAATATACATCAAACGTTTGTGTTCCGTTCTCTTTTGCTGGCATTGTTGATGTGGTTGAAGAACGTACAACCATCTTTTTTGACATTCCACGGATAATTCTGCTTCATGGACACTGTCGTCTGTACGTCGTTACTATATCTTTACAGGGAAACGAGGAAAATTTTAATTAATTAGTTTCATGGAACAAAAATCTGCAAAACAGTCGTTTTCACCATCAACATGACACATATTCCGCTAGATCTCGTAATGGCTCATTTTAATAAATTGCCATCATATTTGATTCTGATGTATAGATTTCTATCAATAGAAGGTGTGAACTAACCCTTTGCGAGAATTATATATTTGTTGCAAATAAGTAAAGCCTATAGCATCTCTTCCTTCACCTTGATTTAGTGGGGTCCAGTTAAGGCGATCAGCTGCGGCATATCTTCCCAAGAGACGTGGAACAGAGAAGCATTTCCAGATACCGTAACTCTCATATTCTCTCCAGTCTGGCATTGTGCCTCTTGAAGTCGAGACGAAGGAGACACTATGCTTTCTTCTTATAAATGGACTCATTCTTTTCTATGGTGTGCTTTGAAAGAGATGTAGCTTGATGCTCAGTACGTGTTATATGGTGCAACTCATCTCAGCCGCATTAGAAGTAACCAATTTCTTTCGCCATTTTTATCAAATTATGGCATGGTTTACTTGAGATACGATAAGCTCAAACCAGTCTACCAATTAATTGCTCGAGAGGACATTATGCGAGACAAGATTCTCTATTGATAGATAGATGGAGTGCAAAATCCGAATTTATCTTAATCTTCTATCTGATTATACATAAGGAAGTTATTTATCTGTGATATTCGCGTCAAGATTTATTAAAAAGAATACAGGTTAATATCTTCTATTCGTTTGGGGAGGATGTTTCTTTTGTGCGGGCAGAGGCCTATATTATACTTAGATCCAAGCCTGTAGATATTAAAGAACATTACATATGAATCCATATTGTTTGAAAGATTCAATGTTGAAAGAAATGCATTGTTTTCAATCTCCATGTAGGTTGGCTTTGGATATACTTTTCATGGCATGACCCTATGCATTTTTGTAGAACTCGGATATGAAGTTAAAACAAAATGGAATGTGGAACATGAGACCATTCGTGCCATCAAATCACAAGTCTTTATGTGGACAAAGAAAGCTGTGACGTATTTGTGCTCAAATATATGTGTAAACATCAAAACCCATCTTCATTTCATTATCTGAAGTTGAGCATGAGCCATTGACGAAACCAACGTTTGCGAATGCTGTTCTGGACTGCCATCTCTTTTCTGATGAGAGTTCAATACAAGATTTGGCACATTCCATTTCTATAACACATGTGCTAAATGCAACATACATGGTCTTCCCGATATAGCCCAAGAATTATATATTTGCGATGTAAGAAATACAAGAGTATATATTTTATTTCTACATTATCTTACATATGTGTATACTTGTAAGTAATGCATATTTATTGTTGGTAAGATTTATGTGGATTTCATTTAGTAAGTCCTTGTTACTCCTTATCGGAAAAAAAAGTAATTCATCACAATCTTCAACATACTGGATGGTATGTTTATCTTTTGAAAATTCAATTCATTGTTGGATGTTTTGTATCATTTTCAACTACTATTGTGTTTCCAAGTATTCTACGAGTAATGTTGACAAGAGTATCTCGAAACTAGTACAAAGTAGACTCATAAAGATAAATACAACACCTAATATTATTTGAAGTAAAACACTGATGGGTGCTCCCATTATTTTGTGCATATTACTCTTTACAAATAATAAAAGGACAAGACAAGGAAATATTGGGGACATGAAAGCTGCTCGATCTAAAGCGAACAAAATCGGCGCTCGAAAGTCGTGCCACGGCGCCACCGGCACTCTCAGGACACAGTGGACGGCGGTCCGCGGGAGCAAGAGGATCTGTAGTGGGGCGCAAAAGCCGGAAGGACAACAAATATTAAAAACAGTGAAAATTATTATCGAGGGAGAAATGCAATATTCGCGAATTCGGTATCAGATATTCTGGCGTTCGAATACCCACACACGCGCCATCCAGCAGGCAAGAAACGCTCCGAAGACGAGTCACAACTGTAAAGATCAAGATTCAGTCCCGAGTTGAAGGTTTCGGATCGAGCCATTCGTCGACGCGTCGTCGGAGCGCAATTAATCGTCGCGCGCCACGTGTAAGATGTCTTGAGAGGGACGGCAAGACGAGATGGGGACTAAGCACTATATAACAAGCTCGGCCTCCCGGAGCAGCTGCGGGCCCAATTTACATGCGCCACTGAATATAGGGACCTTTGTAAGCGCCTGAGGACGGACAGAGGAAGCGAGACAGTGAAAGAGAGAGAAGAGATCGAGAGACGATCGGGACTGGGCGGCAGGGCAGGGAAGGGCAGGGTGGTCGCAAAGTGCATTTGCTTCAGAAAGCGCAAGCAGGAAAAAATGGTGTCGTGCTCTCATCTTGTTGTTATCCTTGCGGTCGTGGTTTCTGTTGCTGTTTTAGCAGAGGTGCGAATTGGAGCAGCGGTGGTTTAGATATGCATTGGAGATTAGTTGCAGTGGGGATGGATTGTCGTCATTCTCGTTCGTCACGTTGCAAATGTAGTAGAATTGCCTTAGATCGATGGAGAGCTGGGTCCTTAGATCTGGTCCTTGAAAGCTCTGCATTGGCGTATGCTCGTCTTTGGGACTTTTCGGTAGAATGTGTAAATTAGGCTGCAAAAAGTGGTATCATTTATTTCTGCAACAGCTGAAACGCGAGATTGTGGTGTTGTTTACTCCTTATTCATCACCAACTCGTGGATCAGTCAGTGAGGAGTCGAGGTTCTGAATTTGACTCAATCTATGAAATAAGGAAACATGTGGATTGAAATCGAAGTCTCTCCGGTACGATTCACGGGCTCGCTTGTGTGCTTTCCAAGTAGCTGCTCCTGACGCCGAAGTACTTTGATTACGTTTCGTTTTACAGGCAGAATCACAGGGAGAAGCAACCGTTCACATCGTGCACATGGAGAAAGGTGAAACTCCGCTTGATGAGATTGAAGCTAAGCATATCGAGGTTCTTGCTTCAGTTTGCGGTGGCAGGTGAGATCTGACACCATGTTTTCTTTCAGATTTGATTTCCTACCCCTCGATATGAGGGCTGGATGATTGTTACAATGTCTAATAGGTGTATCGATGATGAAGCACCTTGAGGTAGTAGCATTGAGTTCCCTTCGTTATTTCCCTTTTACCTCAGGCAGCCTTAAACACTTTAGTCCACCCATTTCCTCCTGGAATCGTCGGAACTGAGTAAATGAGTTGTTTTCTTTCGAGGTGTTGGTATCTTGAATAATACTGAGAATTGCTCTGGTTGGCGTTTCTTGTTTTCTATCTAATGTTCGTAGATTTGACATGAATCCTCGTCTAACTTGACCCCAGTGCTCTGGTAAGTTTCACAATTTCAGCAGCTTCTAAATTTGCTCATTTTTTGCAGTCACGAGAAAGCAAAAGAGCTAGTGTTGTATCAATACAAGCACGGCATGAGGGGTTTCTCTGCAAAGCTCACACCTGAACAAGTCACAGAGTTATTAAGTAAGTTCTTGTCTCAACTATTTTACACTTTGTCTTTATATAATATTGAACCAAATTCACATGGACGAGTTATAAAACCTTTCCTCTTCTATTGAAGTGATAACCGTGTTAATAAAACCTTCGTGATTTAAGTTTCAAATACCTATAGCGGGAAGCCAGCTTTCAGCAGAGGAACATCGTTTTTGAAAGAAATACTTTCGGTCATATGCATTATTCGAGAGATCCAAGGGGCTTTGATATCATCCTTCCCATCATTGATCGATATAACATTGATGAAATCAATGTTATATCGATCAGTCAATGGTAAGGATTGCTACTTCACTCTTTTGGATGTAGAAAGCCTTAACATTTTCTGAATAACCATCTATCATTTTATATGTTATTTTTTTCAATCTGTTCTGTATTCATATTCCAACGTCGTAAGTTTTCAATGCCTTAATGACCAGGTTTCTATAGTTTTCTATTATTTGCGACTTGAAGGTTATCTGATGTCATTCACTAACAAGCGGTCTTAAAATTCTTTGCAGCCAAACCGGGAGTTATCGCTGTCAATAAACAAGGCGTGTCTCACATCCATGCTGGAGCAGTAACTACAGGCGGGGCTGCAAGTGCAGGAGTTAATCTCGCAAGAAACGCTTGAATCGCCGGTTAGACCACACAAGCGAATAAGCTGTAAATATGCTACATACGGCCCACCTGGGCTTCGTTTACCGAGATCTGTAAAATACTCCTGTAACGGTGTCATCATTATTTTTTCCTAAATTATAAAGTTATCGCAAATATCTCTGAGTTTTGCGAAAGTAAATTATATTTTGTCATCAATTTTGCATTTCTTAGTTCAGTTCAACTAAATCCCTAAACCCAGGGTTGGGTTTAGGGGTTTAGTTTGTAGTTTCGCCTTTAAAAGCCTCCATCTTGCTAAATGCCCAGGCTCCTATCCAATGCATTATCTATGAAACAGTAGGAATTGAATCTAGTTCACAGCGAATTAGGCACAGCCCTTGGATACTCCAGGAATTTCACCTGCTTGACTACACCTTAAAAATTCCGAAAACTGACCAGTCGACTTATCATGGCTTTGTTTTAACAAAGCGTATTTTGAGTGGGACCCTGAACTCTGTGTAACTAGAAAGTACTAAGGATAAAATTTCCAATCAAATGAACTTCCAAGACCTATCTTGTTTCGAGAGTTTTAAGAGGCTAGCTTGCGACGCGTGTAATCTCCCGTTATTAAAGTTGGGACCCATTCGTCATGCCAAATGACTGTCTCTGAGTTTTATCAACAGACTAAACTGCTGGTGTCTCATATATTGCATGTGGGGCCCTCACATCGCTAGTTAAGCTATGGGGTAGAGGTGTTTTAGTTTCCATTTGTTTACGTGATTTTCATTCATAGGGATTTAGTTGCGTCGGCTACGGTGCATGGATTTATTTCGCCGTCATCTTTGGATGAGGTTTAATTGTTGCATCTCCCATCTGATGACACGATAAGCTTAGACCTTGTACTGTACTGACCATCATTCCATGGGGTATTTTTCGTAAGGCCTTACATCAGACGCAATCCGTATTAATTTCACACGTGTTTATATCTATGAATAGTAATTCCCTCTGTCTCGTATAGTCTCGTACCTTTGGCGACTGTAGGGTCCAAGAATGATATTTGTTTTTTGCATTGTTCGTAAATTAGCCATAAGATTTTCTGTGGAAATGTTTAAAAGTTTAGCGTGTCGTAAACAAATGTTCGAATCATAACTGAGTGAAAGCACGTGATATATTCTTTAAGCGCCTCGTATCATTTGCAAGTTGAAAGGCAGTAAAACATCTGTGTGTTTTTTTTATCTTTTGTATTTAAGATTATTTTTTGTTCATTAAAAAATTGTGTTTATCAACGAGATGAACCCTAGCTGTGTCCGATGGTCATGGAAGTGGAATCATAATGGGTTTAGATTCTGCATAATCTCAAAGATTTTGGCTTGTCCGCACCTACCTAATTATATCACATTACTCATGATAGATATAACATTCAACACAATTAACAAATATATGGACGTAATAAAAAACAATCATTCATGTCATCTTTCATTTTTAAGTCAAGAAATTTTATTAAACACACAGCAAAACCTTACAAGTAGATAAAATATTTACCAGAAAAAAAGTTCATTGTTACATACTATCAAATAAGTACGTTCTTGAATTGTAAAGAAAATTGGCAAGCAAACAAAACAATCACCCCACATGATTCACAAATCACATTTTATTTTCGATTTGATCAAAAAACGAGAACAAAATGCAGTTTAGATAGTGGATAAAAGAAATTTTTTATTCCAGATATTATCTATATAATCTTCTTCTGGACATTCATGTCTTTTGGATGTGATGACACAGATTTATTTTTTAAGTACAAATTCAGTACATATATGATGATTATTACACATGTTATGTATATGAATTCAATTAAAAAATATGACATACAGTCATCAATTTTCTAGATGAAACGAAATTTTGTTTAAAACTGAAGTATGACATAATCATCAATAATTTCTTATACGAGTTCACAAAACTAAATTGTGGCTACAAAATGACATGCATCACGTTTCTCTGGATTGTAATTCCTTGGTTTAAGTTTGATACATAGGAACCGAGATATTATTTAACATTGTGGTGAAAATTTATACATTTTTCATGTTTTCACTAAAGTGCCATCTTGACGAGGTATTCACAGTCTTGTCATTTTAGTCTTACACATACAGTACAATTCTCGGGGAAAGTCTATTAAACAGAGGGAATTACTATTCATAAATATAAACACGTGAGAAATTAATCCGGATTAGGTCTGATGTAATACCATGATCTAAAGCAAACCGTGGGGATTAGACTACAGGCGCAGATTCTTGTTAGAGCATGTCGACTTCAGCTCTAACGAAGCATGAACCACGGAAATTCTGTGGCACGGATTATGTAGTCTGACCACAGTTTTAACCGACTGTAGTCAGACTTGACAAGACCTGTAGTCGGCTCCCGGAACTGGTGTCCCGAAAGCGTCCAAGTGTCTCCACCGAGGGTGGTGGTCGCTGCTGGCGCGGCCCATTCTTCGTCAGGACGGGACAGCGGGCCCTGTCCGGCCGCAGAGCATATAGAGCTCGATCGACTACGACCGAGAACAGTCAGAAGTCAGGACGGACGGACCCTGGCCTGAGACTTCTGTCGACAGACTGCGCCGAGCGTGTGCGATACGATTCACGCCCGAAGGGACGCGCATCGTCCTCTTCGTCGTCGGCCCAGGGACTGCGCCCGTCCCCCCACGCACCTTATTATTACACCTGCGGCCGAATTAGCGATTGGACTGTCATCGCTCTCGAAGTTCGGTTCGATGGGAATCACTAGGTCTGGCAGTTTGTCGGCCTCGGGGGAATTCTCGCGGGGAGGAGGAGGAGGAGGATCACGGGCGGATTCGGATTTGCATTTCGCGAATTAGAGGCGGGTCGAGGAGGTTCGAGGCGATGGAAGGAGGCGCCAGATGAGGAGGGAGGAAGTGGAGGCGCTGAGATGGAAGCGGAGAGTCGAGACAGTCGTTTGTCGGTGATTTTTTCTTCTTTGGGTGCGGTCGGGCTGAATTAGGAGGAGGAGGAGGAGGAGGAGAGGATAATTGTGAAGATAAATGGTAGAGATTGTGAAGTGGGAGGTCTGGTGGATCAAATTTAGAGCTAGGTGGAATTGACATCTGGATACAGGGAAGTTCCAGTGAAACGAGGATGGCTGCGAACGCGGATGAGGAGCTGCTGGCGCAACTTGGCGTGACTGCCGCGAGACCGGATGAGTACGAGCGTTTGGTTATCGAGCAGGCGCAGGAGCTCGCGGGCACATCAGTCGTCGAGGAAAATGTGGATGCTGCTCTGGGTTTTTTGCAGGGGGAGGAGGATCCCAAATGTCGAGAAAGGAGAGTTCGGATTCAGACCATCCTGTCGCATCTGGACAAGGAGATCGCCGCCGTGGAAGACAGTCGCGTCGCTTTCGCCTCTTCGTCCAATTCGGCCGACGAAGAACCCCAAGAGAAAGCGAACGGCGTCGGAACTAGTAAAGGGAAGAAGGTGCAGAGGAAAAAGAGTGTCATCGCTGAAGATGGCGGGGCAGCGATGCACCTGGCAATTTTGGATGAGCGTCTTGCGAGCTTGAATGCCAAGAGGAAGAAGCTCGGGGGGCAGCTGAAGATTTTAGAAAATTCCAACGCCGATCGACATGGTAAGAAGAAAATAAAGCAGGGAGAAGAATCACATTCTTCTGCAGCACCTAGCCGGGCCTCGAAAAAGGTTGCATTATTATGTGATGACGATGAATTTGACGCAGCTCTGGACGCCGAGAATGCTAGAATTAGAAATCGCAGAGTTGTGCCTAAACCACCTCGTAAAGCGAAAGCTCTTACTTTCATCGAAGACGACGACTTCGATGCTGCTCTGGATGCAGCCACTGGTTCCGGGTTTGTTGAGAGCGAGCGTGAGAAGCTCATTCGTGAGGGTGTCATCACTCCATTCAGCAGGGTCGAAGGGTTCGAGAAGCGAGTCCACGTGAGGTCCCGAAATGTCGCACCGGCAGATGAGGACAATGAGTTGGTCAGGAGATCCATTGCGAACGCAACAGCGTCCATGGCTGCTCACATGAAATCGAGGCCCGCAACCAAGCTCTTGGATAGCTCGGAATTGCCCGAGCCTGAGCTTCCAACGCGTGAGTTTCGTCTGCTTCGAACTCCGCTCAGAAGAGTAACTGCTGCTGCTGATGGGTCCGAGAAGAAACCCAAGGCGAAATCAAAATCTGGAGTGAAGAGGAAACGACCCCAGCCGGATAGTAAGTATAGGCGCAGACATGAGGCTTCTTCTAGTGACGAGGATGACAGTAATCCCGAATCGAATGGGGTGAAGTCAACGAAGAGATCTCGAAGGACAAGCGATGGCAATGCAGGCGAATTGCTCGAAGAGGAAGGTCTGGATGATGAGTTCGAGGATGACGAGGAGTGTGATGTAGCTTTAGATGGAGGTCTGAAAATTCCGGGTGTTATTTATCATAAGCTATTTGATTATCAGAAAACAGGGGTGAAGTGGATGTGGGAGCTCCATTGCCAGAAGTCTGGAGGGATCATTGGAGATGAAATGGGCCTCGGAAAGACTATCCAGGTAACGGCGTTTCTTGCAGCTCTGCATTACAGTGGTCTTTACCGCCCTTCCATTATCATCTGCCCAGTCACTCTTCTACGACAGTGGAAACGAGAGGTCAAAAAGTGGTATGCTCCCTTCAAAGCAGAAATTTTGCACGACTCAGCAGTGAAGGGGCATTTGCATCAAACTAAGAAGAAGAATGAGGTTCGAGAGGAAGGAGAATGTGATGAGGAAAACGGTAGCGAAGTGGAAGACGAACTAGACGAGGAGGAGGAGGAGGAGAAGAAGAACAGTGAAGATGACGAGGCCCTGAAAGGAAAGAAGCCTAAGAATCGTGCCGAGAGGTGGAATGCCATGATCGATCGTGTTACCAACTCGGAATCAGGACTTCTGATAACAACTTATGAACAACTGAGGATCAACCGGGAGAGGCTTTTAGACATAAATTGGGGTTATGCCGTGCTTGACGAAGGGCATCGGATAAGGAATCCGGACGCTGAAATAACCCTTGTTTGCAAACAGCTGCAGACTATACACAGAATTATTATGACAGGAGCTCCTATCCAAAATAGGCTGACGGAGCTCTGGTCTCTCTTCGACTTCGTATTCCCGGGCAAGTTAGGTGTGCTGCCTGTTTTCCAAGCTCAGTTTTCATTACCCATTCAAATTGGTGGGTATGCAAATGCCACACCTCTCCAAGTTTCCACTGCTTACAAATGTGCTGCAGTGTTGCGAGAGTTGATTCTACCGTACCTTCTGAGACGGATGAAGGTTGACGTGAAGGCGAACCTACCCAAGAAGACGGAGCACGTCCTCTTTTGCAAGCTAACTCAGGAGCAGCGTAGTGCCTACCGGGCTTTCTTAGGAAGCTCTGAGGTAGAACAGATTATAGAAGGCAGTAGAAACTCACTGTTTGGTATAGATATACTGCGCAAAATTTGTAATCATCCAGATTTGCTGGAGAGGGAGCATAGTGCTGGTCATCCTGATTATGGAAACCCCGTACGTTGTGGGAAGATGAAACTAGTCGGTCCAATTCTAGGTCTTTGGAAAAAACAAGGACACAGAGTTCTCCTGTTCACTCAGACCCAGCAGATGCTCGATATTATCGAGAGTTTTGCCGTTGCTCAAGGTTATGAGTACAGGAGGATGGATGGTTGTACTCCAGTGAAGCAGCGAATGTATCTCATCGACGAATTCAACGATTCGGAGCAGGTATTCCTGTTTATTATGACCACGAAAGTTGGAGGGCTTGGAACCAACTTAACTGGGGCAAACCGAGTGATAATTTTCGATCCAGACTGGAATCCTTCCACTGATATGCAGGCCAGGGAGCGTGCTTGGCGCATAGGGCAGAAGAAAGATGTTACCATCTATCGCTTGATCACTCAAGGTACCATCGAAGAAAAAGTATACCACAGGCAGATCTACAAACATTTTTTGACCAACAAAATCTTGAAAGATCCACAACAACGACGCATATTCAAGTCCCGAGACTTGCAAGATCTCTTCACCTTGCAAGAGGACAAGGTTGGAACTGCTGGCACAGAAACAGCTGCGTTGTTCGGTGACTCGGTGGAAAATCTGATGGGTCTTACGGAAGCTGAAGCTAAGAAAGTGAATGACGAGACTTTGGTCGCTTTGTGTAACCCCAAGGGCATGAATGATGTGGAAGGAAAAGAGGAGGGCAGTGTATTGGACTCCACAAGTGATAGAAGCAAGGATAATGTTGAAGGAGAGCAGGAAGAAACAGAAGAGGAGGAATCACGGATTCTCAAGGATCTGTTTGAGGCAAATGGCATTCATGTAAGTTTCAGCACGGTCGGTTGTGGTCATGGATATTGCTACTCTCTTGTCATTGGTAACAAGTTAGACAGCATCACTTCAGGTTGAGCAATCACTCTTTCTCGTAGAGCAATATGAACTCTTGAATGACCTGTGCCATCTCTTTGAGCCTGTGTAACTAAATATGTGTGCGTATAATCTTTGTTTGGATACAGTCCGCAATGGATCATGATGCTATCCTGGGCGTGAGTGAGACAGAGAAGGCGAGGGTTGATATCGAAGCAGATAGAGTTGCCAAGCGTGCTGCAGACGCAATAAGGCAATCCAGAATGATTCGAGCTAGTGATGACGTAGCAGTTCCGACCTGGACCGGCAGACATGGAGAGGCCGGAGCCCCATCCAATGTGAGACGGAAGTTCGGTTCCACTACAAACTCCCGATTGGTGGCCAGATCAACAGCAGTGACAGTCAGTAGTGCGCAGACTGGTAGCGTACTAAATGTTCGTACCGATGTTAGCAGCAATGCAAGGTTTTCAGCGGGTGTCGCAGCTGGAAGTGGAGTTGGGAGAGCCTTGACCTCCAGTGATGTACTTAACCGAATGCGAGAACGCAACATGGGTGCTATAGGTGCGGGCATGGAAAGTGCAGGACCTCGTTCGCAGGTGTCAACCTCTTCTCTGGTGGCGAACAGGTTTGGGAGAGGCTCAGCGCCAAGAGGAGGACTATCTTTTCAAACCCCACCTTTGGGTAGGGTTTTGACGAGCTCCTCTCTTGCACAGCAGAATGTTCAACCTTCAAGTGGGAGAGGTTCTGCTTCTCCAAATGGACCAGGTGTAAATGCTTCAGCAACTCAGATCGGCGCTGGACAAGGTTCACCTGTGAGAACGCTTGCAAGTCGAAGCGGTCAGATTCCTGTTGGTGGGAGCCCTATCAGGACCATAGGTAGAATGACGCCTGGTACTCAAAATTCCCCTCTCTCATCCACAGGTGGAAGAGAAGGAGCGAACTCCTCCAACCCAATTACAGATTCTACCCAGTTACCACCTGAGAGTGAACAACTCTTGTCTCAGATTAAAATATACTTAGAGCAGAACCAGGGTTCTGTCCCTTCCGCTGTTATAGCTAATCACTTCAAGAATCTTATACCACCCAAAGATTTCCCTTTGTTTAGACGTCTTCTGAGGGTAGTAGCCACCTTAGCGCAAGGAGATGGTGAATGTTCTATGTGGACCTTAAAACCAAAACCTACGTAGTCAACAACCTACTAGATTTTGATTGCAAGCTCCACATGGAGATGTAAAGATCTAATTAAATTCTCTTCACTACGTCAAGCTTTTGTTGGTTTGACATGTAAGGGAGTCTCTTCTTCTCTTTTGAGATATATGTAGGAAACAGCATTAAAGTAGTGAAAGGGGAACATTTTCTCTGTGGACCATGTGCTTCTACAACGCCGTCTGTTCCTACTGTATTGCGACTATTCTATGAAGGCCGTCTACACCAGAATCAAAATAGGCAGCGCAGGTAAGAGTTTGTTTGAAGCATTTGTAAACTCATGAGCGGTCATGGCATGGTCATCACTTGCGGGTAGAAGAGACTGGAATGCCACATGTGTCTCAACGTCATAGAAGAGAAGCGTCTTATTTTATGATGTATTGTTGCAGTAGTTTCCTCTTTCTAAGAAAAATTAATATGATAGAGTTTGGGGCACTTTGCAGATTGCTTGCATTGCTGATGTCATTCTTTGCTTCTCTGTTTTGTGTTTGTCAGGTAGTACTTCCTACAACTTGTGTTTCTGAGTGGAAGTGAGGAACGTGGATAGACGTCATGTCAGATGTCTAAACACATTGAGTTTTCCAATGTGCGGAGACAACATGAGCTTTTGAGATTACAAGTCCCATGCACAAAATCTTGATCTACGTGCAAGGACTGTATTTAGCTGTTTAATGCGCGCAAAAATTCTCGATGAGAACAGGGTTCATCAACTCACCAGGAAAACAGTGTCTTATCATCAGCGGACCAGCGTTCACTACGAGGCACACTTTTTCGCATGCTTAAATGTTGATTGAAATTCGACTACAAGTGATGACGGCTGTTCCTTGGTAAGAAGTCCCAAAAAGCACTCATGATTTTACTTTGTTTCTAATTCCACGTGAGAATTTTGTTTTTGATATATGTTTTCAACTACGCAAGCAACAAGTTTTTGTTATTTCTCCTATTTTTGAATTAAAAACTTTTTTCAATGCTTTATGCCTGAAACGTGTCTTCGGTGTGATCAGATTTGTTAGAAGGTGGAGGTTTCCAGCAAGTGCTTTTCGTTTGAGCTGATTATACTCGGAAGAGAGGTTGAGGGAAAATCGTGGTCAGTCAGCCAGGTAGGCTCTAATTTCAGGATATACGTTTTCAACTCAGTGCTGTTATTTCAACTTTTCTCGGCAAATGGATCTGCTGTAGTGAAACCATTCTCATGAGTTCGTTACATGCAGGGAAGATATGTTCAAACCTCATGTCTGCAGTCCCTTCTGATATTCGAAGCCAGCGCTTTTTGTTCGCATTTTGATTCACGATCCAGGAGAGGAATCAATGCCTGCACGGACCGAGGAAATTGCAAGTGAAAGTTTTAGCAGATGATGGAGTCACCATCCTGCGAAAACTTACAAGAGTTTCGAGAAGGGATGATGGTTATTTAAGAGATTTTCTAAGATTTGGAGACCATTTGACAACTCCTGGCACCTTGAATTTGCAAATCGGATATGGCCGGTTTCTTGTTAGTCGTCCTCAGTTCAGATGGTCATCAGCAACTGCACCGTCGGAGATGGAAGATAAAGATGTAAATCGTGTCGAGTTCGTGCAATGAAAAGTCATATAAACCCATAAATTTTTTTCAAGTTGAAGTTGGGAATGTAGGAGTCCTATTCAATGTTACGACCAATAAAGATAAGACGAAGTCGAGGAACAATGACGTTCTTTAGAAGGTTCAGGATGTTGGATGTATGCGAAGTCAATCAGACGTAAATGCGATGGAACAGATCAAGCGTCTGTCTTTCTGTCCGTCAGGCACCTTATCCGCTGTTGTCTGCGGTTTGAAACATCCTTCCCTTTCTCATTACACCACTTTGATAGACAAATTAATTGAAGTGCGAAACATGGAAAGATGTTTTTGATGTGTCAATTCCGACCAGCTGAATATTTGTCTTTCAACCATCGCAAGATTTACATACAATTTTTTCGTTTCAAAAGATGTCATCTCGCAATCGTCGCACTCTCTTACATACCACAGCAAAACATATTGAGAACGCATATCGTAATGCGTCTATAAACCTTTTCCGCTTGCTTAAAATGCTTGTGCCTGGATTGTGAGACTCACTCTGGGACATGAGTCGGGTTGCATGTCCGGTCTTCAATGAGCAGTCATCGACGTGTGGGAAGGAAAGGCCATCGAGGTCTATCCAATCATTTGTTCCATGCGTCAGATGGAGTAGATGATGTTCCATGTCGTAGGTGCTGATGTGCAGTTCATGCACTGGCACCTGGTGGAATACTAAGACCCAGACGTGCGTCAAGAATTGTTCGTCGAGTGAATCTGTCCACCTACCCAAATATTAAAATGTACTTAATGCCTCGAGGCATCTTACATACATCCCACTCGGACGTTTTGGTTGTAAAGGCATCTCCCCTTGTTGTCATAACATCGCAGATCTTTTGACACCCTGAGAGATACCCCGAGGTCTTACACAAGATCCCACCCATATTGCAGCACTTCCCTCCATATCCTCCACGTGCACGAGTCGGATTAAGAGTCGTCTAGAGCATAGGTACTAAAACGTTCGGGTGCTCTGTGCATGCGCTGGACTGGAGAGTGGCCACTAGATCAGGGCAGCAATGGTCGATTTTACTCAAACCATGAAAGCCGACCTGAGCTAAATCAAGGTTGTCTCAGAGCAATTCGAGCTGACATAGTCCGCCCAGTGATGAAGACTGGAAAACAGGAATACACACTTCCATGGCCCAATAATAGGCGAATTAAATCTGTCTCCACAGGAAAGTCATAACAACCTCATTCGTGACACATGATTGGGTGTCGGGAGAGAGGAAAGGAACGGGTATAGCATTCGAGACTATTTGAGTGTAAAAATACCCAAAGTGAATTGGAGTTACAGTACTTTCATTCTTGACGGCCTTTACCGCGGTGTGACTTTTAGATACAGAGGGCGAGACGCACAACGCACCAAACGCATAGCGATGGGAGAAACAGTTGGAACAGGAGATGTTCTGAATTTCGCTGCTGTTTCCCATATTCCATCGTCCCTGTGGCTGTGCAGTATTACTGCTCTATGTTTCTCACGGAGGTATTGGAGGTACGCCTCCCCTCGTTTGTCAACAGACGCACACCGATGATGATGATGGTGATGATGATGATGTCTGTCGCCACAGACAGTAAGTAAGGGAGTGAGGGAGGGGGGGAGCGAGTTTGTACATGCAGTACGGTAATCCCCTCCACTGGTGCTTGCAATGCTGCTCACACGGGGATTTGAAGTGTACGAGAGGATGATGGTGGCCATCAAGTCAACACAATGACCCAGGCAGAGCCGCAGAGGGTGTGCCGGGGCACAGTGGAACGGGAGGGGGTCATTCCCGTGTCTCATGTCTCATGAGCGCAGGCAGCAACAACGATAGTGGACCTTCCCAAATCCAATAGCTAAGCTCGCAACTGAGTTCAGATCGCCTGAATCACTCGCATTCTATTCAGGATCAACTTGACACGGAAGTCTCTTGCGATATCTCGGTGTCATCATCCATCCTCCGATGCAACCTGTACCCTGCCACCTGCCCTGCCCTCCGCTTCTCAACCCTGCACGACGTCGGAGAGCGAGGCTTCTCCTGGACTACTGTATTTCTTGGCTCATTGCTGCATACGCGAATTAATAGCAGCACCCTGCAGTTTCACTTTTCATCTCCAGCCAAGTACGGCACAGCGTAGTCCCTGTCACGGAATTCCTTGATCGATCTGTGCACACGAGAAGCCCCATCTGACTTTTCTTCTCCTGTTGAAAACAGTATCACGGAATCTAGTTTCTTTCATCGCCTTGGACAGGAGGGAATCCGGATGGTTCCTACAAGACGTTAGGAGTTAAAATTCGACACTTGTATTATACTCCACCGGGCAAGAGGATCCACCTTCTAACTGGAATTGGAAGCCCTGAAGCAGGCAGGCCTGGGAGATCGTAACTGCAAATTCATGATGCTTTGGATTGGTATCTTCCAGATTCTCCGGGGCAGTTTAGGGCTTGGGACATTCTCTGGGAACTCCACAGGCCTCGAGGCTGGAGGCTCGTTGCATGTACTTCAATATCAAGAGAATTTACGGACAACGCCCTTGACAAACGCCTCGGAGCAGCTCCCCCTTTCCCTTCCCTTTCCTTCCCTACCCTCCCTCGGTAACTTCACTTTACAAATTTTGCATTTGCTTGTTGCAGGCTCCTGAATTAAGACGTGCCACAATTCGTAGAACTTGCCCGTCGGGAGCTGTGGGGAGACTGTGACTGTGGTTGAAGGCCACATCACTCTGCATGGTGTCTGGCCACATCAGTCTCCTTAAAATTTTGGGGCGAGAAATTTTTCAATATGTCTGTCACATAGTCAGGATGTACATAGTTCATTCTCTTCATTGTTTACACCGAAAGATTTTAAGTGATTGAACTGACGGGATTTCCACCAACAATTTTGCATAAAATCTCAAATCCGTGAATCTCAATTAGCTTTTCGAATTCTAGACGTGAGCATCATGAGCATTATGTCATGCCAAACACATGTGTTCACAGAACATTCCCTAAACCCTAATCACAGAGATATACACTTCTTTCTGCAACAGCAGATTTGATGCAAGGGCTACTGCAATTAAGTTCATATACATTTACAGATATCAATCAAATACACATTTATTGACAAAAACTGAATCTAATGTCTGTTCACATGTTTTTTGTAAAATGAACACTCACAATATGAATGATGTGCACTCATGATAGTAATAGTTTTCATCAATCCTTCAATAGCTTTGACCAAAATTATTTTAATGTGAAGGGTCTGAAGTAGTTCGTTTTCAAAACGTTAAAAAAAATCGGATGTGAACAGAACGGTTCAACACTGATGAATTTTTATACAGGAATAGATGTCTTGTGCAGTAAAATTGTCCGGCATCGACTACCTCTCATGTCATGTTGTGCCAATCGTGTCAATGTTTAATACGTGCAGTTGTTGAAAGCTATAAGAGGTTGGATAATATTCTCTGTGTTCAAAGGCCGACCATCCTCCCTAAGGTAAAAAAGAGACGCAAGTACACTTCTCCAACTTGACTACATACAACTTAATGTTATGATTCCATTTCCATGTTGATAATTTTCTTCATTTATTTCTATTCATTTTTCCTTTCATCCATACCCTTGCTCGCCTCTGTAGAGCAACATTTTTTTCCCGGACATTTGGACAGAGTATGATAATATTTTGCTACAGCAAACTACAATATTTTGGTTGATAAAATTTTGATAAAAGAGATCCACAACTTTGACAAGATAAGCTCTCCTTACTGTGATCTATAAAAGAACGCATTTGTAACACTACTTCCAAATGATATCTAACAGCTTCAAGCCTAGATATATGTGAAGAAATAGGGTCAAAACAAACCTCAAGCGTTCAGGCAGTCCCGTAGAAGGGTCTTCTGCGTTCCATAAGGCCGAGTGTCAGTGCCCTGGAAAAATTCGCTGAGTCGTTGCATTTGTTTCTAGAAGCTTTGGTGCACAATGAGAGATTCCTATTTACTGCCTTCAGCCGTAAATCTGGTTTCGGTCCCACCAAAACAATCCATATCAAAGTCTATGGGAATGGGTGAGAAGAATTCAATTTTATGGGAGAGATTCCGGTCCCGTAGTTTTCAATTGGACCTGTTTTGGATGCTCCCACTGCGAACAGCAGTGGTGCTGATCTTTGCGCTACTAAAGCCATAGGGCATATCCGCTTGACATAAGCTGACAATTTTTGAGTGCCAATTAGAGAAGGCATGGGGCAGTGGACTCCGAGTGGGTGGTAGATCCTGAGTTATATTCAGGGCTTTTGCATGGTTTCATGAAAGGTCACTTTGCAGACCTTGGGGATTTAATGCGTAAGATCCATTAGAGTCCACGTTGAAGCAAGTTTAAAATGTGCATCTGACTTGAAGGGCTGGACCGGGTAGATGAAGCCCTCCTCCTGTCTGACGTTAGAAATATTCGTCCTTCCTTGTGGCTGGCTCGCTGGCTGGCTGGAGGTGACATGGGACCTTGATGGGTGGATTGGAGTGTCGCCAGCCATCTTCCTCGCAATGTCCGGAACCATTCTGCACCCTCGTCATGGCATGTCGTTGGCTTTTCACAATCAACCACCGCCCTTGCGAGATAAAATATTCACCCTCACGACTTTCTAAAGAAATGCGTCCGGCCGTGACATTTGTCAATGGATATAATCTCTAGACTAGATGTCGTCGGTCCAGATGGGTTGCGGATTCGTGGAGATGTGACACGGGCAAAAAGGTGGGACGAAACCCAACATACGACTCGCAGCGCGGTAAATCCCACCAATTGTCCACTCGGCCGACTTGCAAATTGTCTCCCTTCTCATCCGAAAAGTCATCGTCATTGCACTCTTCGATCCGAAAAACGTCATGCACAGAATCACGCGGATATCAGGCGCAGCGAGGGTCAAGCAGCAGCAAAGAGACTATCGGTCGAGGTCCTCGTTCCACTCCCCGAACGGGAGTCGTCGGCGATGGAGGCTCGACCTCGAGGGCAGGCCAGACGGTGAACGAGCAGGAGAAGGGCGAGCAGCAGTGCCCGCCGTCGTCGTCGTCGTCCCTCGTCCTCCTCCTCGTCCTCCTCCTCATGCTGACCCGATCCCGCACAAGAGAGGCAAGGCGCGTACATGGAGCGTGGAGCGTGGAACGTTGGACTGCAAGAAAGCGCGGCCACTGGAGCGGGCTTCCAGTAAACAGAGACGCTCCCCGGTCACGGACCTTGTGCGTTCTGCTGCTGCTGCCTGCTTACCGGCTCGAGGCACCAACCGGTGCCCGGGCCGGGCAATTATAGGCTAATGTGACAATAAGGATATGTTTATTTACGCTAATCGAAACCAACTAATATTGCAGGAAGGATGGGACGACCCCATCGAGTCGTACAGGGTTGAATCCAAAGGGTCGGATGGGGCAGGCCCCATTTACGCTAATCCTATCATCACCTTACCCTAACCGCTTATCGGGGCAGGAAAGGACAAACATATGCATTCGGGCCCATAATTACCCACAATCCAAAGTGGAAGCGCCCGAGTCCCACCCTGTTCCATGCTTTAATATTCAATAATTGATTCTTTACATACGAATTAATATTTAATTGGGTCTTTGCGTAAGAACAGTCAAAGGGGGTGTGTGTGTGTGGGTGTCTGTTTGTTCTGCTGTTGGTCGCTACAGGGCCAGCCAAGGCCGCAAGCTGTTGGCTATACGGGGAGCTTAACTTTGCTCTAAGTCGCCCTTAGTGTAAGCCATTGATTTCGGGCCCTGAAGATGGAAGTCTTGCTTACAGTAGAGTAGTGACCTCCTCTGAGGCAGGGGGGCGGAGTTAGAGGATTGTCGTGCCTCCAGGCTCGGTTTGCCTGCCTGTAGAGCTACAGACGGCACCGTCGGAGTCCGGCCCTGCGAGGACTGTTCGTCCCTTTGACTTGCGTTGGCACGATAAGTCACTATCTCTGTTTTTCGAGAGGGTTTATTCATGAGGACAAGAGGAAGTCCAAGTTCGTCTGCGTTCTCCTTTGCACTTGGACTTCTATTCAAGATTCCCCTCGGAGAATTACTTTACACTACAGTACGTGACATTTATTTCTCCTCGCTCCCCACGGATTCCTTCCGCGGTCGGGCCGCCATCTCCACGTCCGTCCTCCGCCTAGCTGTCGGTCACGCTCCCGACGAATGCCAGAGAAAATCTCCTCCGAGACATCGTGACGCAGACTCGAGTCGCAGGGCAAACTGCTGCCTTTCGGAGCCGTGATGTCAATCATTTCGCTCCCGATCTGCTTCAGCGCGTCGCGTTTGATACTCGCGCCGCTTTACACGTCGCACCGGTGCTTGCATGTCCGCATGCAGACCGGTCCAAACCGGCACGCCTCGATCCGAAGACGACATCCGTCCGAGTCTGTGAGAGGAACGGAGCTGAACGGAACGGAGCGGAGCGCGAAGTTGCGTCTGAGTCGGGACAGTGGAGTACAAACCTGATCGGGATAGAGGACGACGCGCCGAGGGACTCCTGGAGCGGGGTGACTTAGAAGAAGGAGGAAGAGGTTAAGGGGAGATGGTGGTCGAGTCAAAGAGTGTAATCCGCGCGGATGAACATGGGTAAAAACAGACAGGTTTAATCTTACCCTGCAAAGATATTGCGACCGTACGTGGTGGTGACTAGCCACTCAGATCCAGAGCCCTGGCCCTCGCGTGGCCTAACCCCATACCCATACCCTACCGAACCCTACCCTCAGCCATGCCATACCGACTGCGCCCAGGAGAGGCCACGTCACCGCACCGCCGAGGGCGAAGGTCCCAGCAATAGGAAGATTCGCAATTACGATCGCTCGATGCGCGATCGGACGGTCCAGAAGCACGCGACGACACGATAAAATAAGCGACCGCTTTGGCAGGAGCATCTGGAGTTATGGAGAGGGGGCCCTATCCGAGGAGAGGTGAGCACCTCGACGCAGGGTCGCGGCCGAAATCCCGTCCCTTGTTCAGCGGAGGAAGAATCGCGGGAGTCAGTGGGAGGATCCGATGGGTCGAGAGGAGGAGCGACAAAGAGACCGGCTGACCGAGGAACGGACCGGTCGAGCAAGTGTAAACGTAGGCCGGGGCCGCGAGCAAGAGGACAGCACAGAGAATCTAGGATGATGTCGAGGTGGCATCGCGCCGGGAAGGCAGATACTTAAGCCACGCGTCGGGGCCAGTCCGAGTGTGGCTGGGTCTGTTTGGTAGAAGAACACGAAAGACGAAGACGGTCACTCACGCTTCCGTCCACCGCGGTCGCCGTGTGAACGAACGGACGGGCATCAGCGCACCACTCCATCGCACTTTCCACGAACGAACGGACGGCCCGATCGCCCCCATCTTCGTCCTCTTTCTTGAACTCCGCTCCCCCGCCCCCCTTCTTCCCCCCCGGATAGATCGATGTTTCGTCGTCGTCCCGCTGGCAGTCTGACGCTCGAGCCCTCGAGAAATTCATAGTCGATGCTCAGCCTTCTTTCGGATTCTTCCTCGTCGCTGTCTCTCTGTCCCTCGCTCGCTCTCTGCTGCTTTTGCTAGACCCGGGTCGCTGGGTCGTACATGGCCTTGGCAGTTCTTGTGGTAGGAGAACGAGCACGAGCACGAGCGCCAGCCACCACCGGAGCCGGTTGCAGAAGACGACGAGAAGAGAGGCCCACGAGGTCGACGTCGCCACGTTTCTTTTGTCTCTCGTCGACGGCGCAATGGTGAGACCACGAGCCTGTGCGTGAGTGAGTGCGACACTGAGAGGGAGAGAGAGAGAGAGAGGGAGGGAGGCAGTTTGTTTCTTGGTTGTTGGTGTAGACGGACGAGGAAGAGGAAGGAGGAGGAGGAGGAGGAGATCTCGGTGTGAGGTCGAGTGGCTGGATTTCTCGGCTCCGGGCGCACGGGTCGTGGCGGTAGAGTATGAGACGAAGGTCGATGTCAGACGCTTCTCCTCCTCCCCTCGAGGGCGGCCACCCCAGGACGATACGTGTGCCTTGCGGATGAGCGAATTTGTTTTCGTAGGCTGCGGTCGACGAAGACATCTCCGGCGCGAGCCTTTGTTTGTTTGGTAATGGTAGCTCAGGTCTCGGGTTAGAGCAACGACGGCGAGGAAGCAAGCCGGCCCTTCCCCGTGCACCGCACCATCAGCGTCTTTCAGACGGCAGACTGATCACTTTCAAGAAGCAAATACTGCACCACTTCTTCTTTCGAGACCTTGCCGATTCTGCGGGGAACTGGCAGTTTTGCGTGGACCGAGTCCGAACTAGAGACGGAGGGAGAGCTGAGGTGGGATTGGACGTCGAGGTCTTTGGAAAAAAATGATGGAAATAGATAGATTTTAGGGTGAGAATTGGACTATTTGAGGAACAGCAGTAGCTGCTGCCTTCTGTCACAACTGAAAAGGTCTGCGGTGGGGGTTGAGGGTCGATTGAACGATTATCAGACATGGCGAGCAGGGCGTCGTTCCTGAGCGCAGAGGCCGCGGCTACGGCCTCTGTAGCTTTCACGACCAACAATGGAACTGGAGCTGCAGAAGCTCGAAATAATGGCCGGAGACGCGGTGGAAGAGTGCGGTCCAGCGCTCGACCGTCCTACGAGATTCACCATCAGGAGCAGCCGGTGTGGATTGGGCCTCCTCCTATGCAGCAGAGGTTGGCAGTCGGGGTGGTACCCGGCACAGGCAAGGCTAGCTCTCGCGCAGGGCCGAATGTGCATTCCCGCCCTGGTATGGACGGAGTTGGGTCTCTGCACCACAACCTTCAATCTCAGGGTGCCCTCAGTGCGGAGTTTTGTGGTCGCAGATCCACTCGTCTTGTTTCCAAATTCCACCACGGACGCCAAAAGCTGTATCTCGGTAAGCACAGTCCGGAAGCGGACATGGTGGCTGAGAGGGTGCTGAAGGCCACTTCGGCCATAGGCACGGCCGCTCTGCTCGATCAGTGGTCGGACAAACTAGTGTGCGTCGAGGACTTCCCTTATCTGCTGCGCGAGCTCGGTAACTGGGGAGCTTGGGAGAAGGCTTTGAAAAGTTTCGAGTGGATGTTGAGGCAGGCGCGGCTCAGCGGTGAGTGGAGTAAGCTCGCGAGCATTATGATCAGCACTCTGGGACGACTGGGAAAGGTGGATCTTGCCCAGGAAGTGTTCAACAACGCGCAATCCCGAGGGTTCGGTGATAACGTGTACGCTTATTCGGCTCTCGTGAGCGCCTACGGTCGTAGTGGTCGATGCAAAGAAGCTCTGGATGTATTCCAGTTGATGAAGAAGTCCGGGTGCAAACCTAATCTCATAACTTACAACACCATCATCGACGCATGCGGCAAAGGCGGAGTCGACCTCAACAAGGCGCTCGAAATTTTTGACGAAATGCAGAGGGAAGGAGTCGAACCGGACCGCATAACCTTTAATTCTCTGATCGCAGTTTGCAGCCGAGGCAGTCTCTGGGAGGAGTCGCAGAAAGTGTTTGCTGAAATGCAGCGCCGTGGCATTGAACAGGACATTTTCACATACAACACTTTGATAGACGCCGTCTGTAAGGGGGGCCAGATGGAGTTGGCCGCATCGATCGTAGCAGCCATGCGACACAAGTCAATAAACCCGAACGTTGTCACTTACAGCACTATGATTGATGGCTACGGCAAAATTGGCTGTTTTGATCAGGCCATCAATTTATACCACGAAATGAAAGACGCCAACATATATCCTGATCGAGTTTCTTACAACACTTTAGTCGACATTTATGCGAAGCTTGGGAGATTTGACGATGCTCTCGCCACCTGCACTGAAATGGAGAGGGCCGGCTGGAAAACCGACGTAGTCACGTACAACGCCCTCATAGATGCATATGGCAAACAGGGCAAATACGACGATGCATCTAAATTGTTCGACAAGATGAAATCAGAAGGCGTCGTTCCGAATGTGTTGACCTACTCTGCTCTGATAGATGCGTATTCTAAGGGTGGGCGACACAGAGAAGCTAGCGAGGTTTTTCAGCAGTTCAAGAAGGCTGGTCTGCAACCGGATGTTGTTCTCTACAGCGCTCTGATTGACGCCTATTTCAAGAATGGGTTGGTCAATGAGGCAGTGGCACTGCTGGAGGAGATGATGAAGCAGGGCATCCAGCCGAACATAGTCACGTACAACTCTCTCATCGATGCTTACGGAAGACGGGGCGAGGTTAGTTATTCCGTTCACGGAGTCACTAGCTTGGAGTTTTTGCCCAAATTTCCTTTGCCTGACTTAGTTCTGCGCAGAGAATTCAGCATCCTGGGACGAGTTTGATTCTCTGTCTATCGCCGTAGTTGTTCTATTCGAACTCTTTTAAGTTTTTCTCATTTGCCTTTGTGACGCATGTTTCTCTCAGTTTTTTTGTCGTTTCTCATTTCCTATGAGATCTGTGCACTGCTTGTACGGAAAGGTTGTTTGTCTAGACTTATTTCTACACGCTGGACATGTGCTGAAGGAATCTTATGTTTGTTTCTGCAGGTCGACAAAGCCTGGAAGACACTGGAGTCTAGTAGGGATGACAACATCACTCCTGATTGTACAAATGTGAACACCATTTATCATCAACACAGGCCTAGAACTGTGCACACGGAGGGTCCCGCCTGCAACAATGAATTGATAGCTATTGGAAGGCAACCTGTGGATGAATCATGCATCCCTGTAGATCGCAATAAGGGCAAGCATGGAAACATTTTGGCAGCTGTGAAAATCTTCCACGATATGCAGGAGTCGGGATTAAAACCCAACGTCGTGACGTTCTCAGCTATTTTGAACGCATGCAGGTGCGCACTGTGTTCCATGTTTACCAGTTATTTCCCATTGCTGTGGTGATTGCTTTACTTACTTCAGTGATATGTTGAGGCAGGATCATCGACTCTCACTAAAAGTAGACAAATTTTATTTCCCCATCGTATACACCACGAGGGCTAGTCAAGCAGTGATTCGTGAACGTGGGCATTTATCATATTTTAAAGGGCATTGTCTTGACTGAGGAACGAACGTCCTTGTTAGAAGTGAGATACTGCCTTTTTTTCTGTTATCAGTTGAGGCTTCTATCTAGTTGACTCCTATATTAATGAAGCATATGGGTCGTTTTTGACAGTCGCTGTGCGTCTTTCGAAGAGGCTTCCGTCCTTTTGGAGGAGATGAGACTTTTTGATAGCAGGGTCTACGGCGTTGCATACGGATTGCTGATGGGTTCACGCGAGCATGTTTGGGGGGAAGCTGAGGTTCTCTTCAACCAAATTGCCTTCATGGACTACGCCACTGCAGCAGCCTTCTACAATGCCTTGACGGATGTTCTTTGGCACTTTGGCCAGGTAAGGGGAGTGTCGCATGCGTGTATGTTGCGTTTTATAATTATTAACTGTTAGCAAACGGGGAAGTATTGGCCTTACGACAACTTTGCGAGGTGGTGTGCTTTTCGATCTTCAAACGAACTTTGTAGTACCCGAGCCTGAACATACTTACTGTACATTGATGGAAGTTTGGAAGACTCGTTTGTAGTCTTCACGTCAAGATGCATGTCATCTTCGTTTCTCACGTTGTCATTGTTGTTGCTGCAGAGAGAGGGTGCTCAAAAGGTGGCTGTGGCAGCGAAGAGGCGCAGAGTATGGGAGAACGCCTGGTGGCGATCTGACCAGCAGTTTTGTCTCGATCTCCATTTAATGTCTGTAGGTGCTGCACAAGCTATGCTTCATGTATGGCTGCTTGACATACGAAGTTTGGTCTGGGAAGGCCACGAGCTACCACGTTTTTTGAGGTGACCATTAGAACCCTTTTCATCTTTTACGTGTGTGTGAGTGCGACGGTTAATACTTTTTCCTGGATTTGATGAGTCATTTATGCTACGGGTACACGTATGACAATAATGTTTATTGACTTTCTTGTCATTTTATCGTTTTTTCCACGCAGTATCCTGACTGGATGGGGCAAACACAGCAAAGTGGCCGGCGCAAGTGCTGTGAAGAAGGCTGTGGAAACCCGGTTGATGGAGATTGGAGCACCTTTCCAGGTGGCTAAATATAACGAAGGGCGTCTGATTTCAGCGGGACGAGTCGTCTATAATTGGCTCAGGGATGCGAAAACTCTTCCTCTCCTTCTTTTACAGGATTCCAGGCAGGCTCCATATCCAAGAAGGGAGATGTCCATGCCAGACTTGCGGCTACTGTCACTGCAACCCCCATAGTTACACCCTGTTTATAGTTGCTTTGAAGGTTAAATGTAGGACCAAACATCCTTTTACTTATTTTGTGCAAAGAAAAGAGGTGACAGGGAAGGAGGGAAAGAGATGGGTCAGGCATCAGCAAGTGCATCTACTAGTTCTGTGTTCGAGTTAGAAACAACCATTGCTTTGAAGAGTACTAGGTTCACGAGACTACGGAAGGTTTTCAACCGCGCCATATTAGTAGTCCGGTGAGTCTGCCAAAGAACCTGTAGTTTGTCGTTGTGTTTGCTGCTGCAGATGTGAGGAGAGCCCCCTCAGATTTGAGAACCCTTTTCTGTCACCTCTTGCGACGACCAACCTGACAGCTGTGCGGAGACAGACAAAATTTTTGGACCTCATTGCGGGATGAGGGTAGCATTACAGCCTTGAGAGAAGTGAAGCAGAGGCTTTCACAATATTTGTAGTACGTGTCTGTGGCCGGCCAACTGTAACGCCAATGGAGACAGACAAGTCCGGGAGTGCCACAGGGATGGAACTGCGAATTTTCCACTTTACAACCACTTAGAAGGCTGAAGTATTTGTGTCGGGGATAGTCGGAGAAAACTCAAATGTCATGCCTGACAAAAAAGAGCATGTCCGTCCGTCCATCAGAACGGGCTCTCGGGCCAAGATGAGCTTACCAACAACGAACATATCTTGACTGTGAAGCAGTCTTCGTGATTGACAGCGACGAGCATTCTTACGTCATCACAAGCAGATCAAAGCGCATCGGACAAGTACACCATTGAATATACGAAGCTGAGGAGGAGAAAGGAATTATATCTAGAAGAGGTACAAGTATCATGCCATACAGGTTACGAAGTACTCAGTCCCATCAGTGTGGCTGCCGCATTTTGTGCAGGAAGATATCTGATTTAAAAGTAGATTATGCTTGCAGCCGCCGTTGAAAGCTTCAAAAATGTGTAAAGATGTGCTTGGCCCACGAGAAATAAAACACGGATGGACTAAATTGTACAGACAATCCGCTTTGTAAATATATCGATATCATTTAACTTTTTCGCCATTTTTTTTTGGGTGTTCTTGTGCTACGCATGGTGCTGTGCGTTGGTGGTGAAGGGTCCTAGCTGTCGGGCAGTCTGGAGTCCCGCGTAAAGGTTTGGGAATAGACATCAATCGTGGTCGTTGAAACACTTGCCCCACTGACTAATGTCCTGGTCGAAATTGTTGTAAGCAGGTCTGCAAATGTTGAATGTATTAGAAAAAATTCTCTTAATACTTGGAGATTCTTAATGTCGAATATCTATCAACTTGTGAGCAAGACAGATTCATCACAGAAAATTTACGCAAAACACTGATAAATACATGACATTGAAGCAGAATTTCTGGCCAACTTAATCTATGATTAGGTTGGATCTAATGGTCAAGTTCCAAAACCATCTCCTCCAAAGTAATTTTTCGAAACTGTTTACCATTAACACCTTAATGGGTGAAATCTGTGGTGAATGTAATGAACTACCGGGGGGAGGCTTTTTAACTACAGGTTGAGGAGAGGATGTACGATTCGATCAAAGCTGTCTGTTCAAACAAACACAATATCTGTCAATATTTCTCCTGAGCGGAGGGCTTTACATGAAGACCTAACCTAGTCACATTTCTACTAGCTGGAGGGTATGTTTTGCAAGTGTTTTCTTGATTGCCACCTCATGTTTCTCACAGAAATCAAGTGGCGCTAGTTCACCAGGACTAGTTCAGGTATTCATCTATCTTTCTGGGCAACAGAGGAACTTGTACATACATTTGAATCCTCAAATTACCTTTTCATCCTTCTACCTTGTATAAATTCCTCAAACAACTCATGTACATTTGACCTACTTTGTCCGAGTTTAAATTCTTTACGGCGGGTCAATCGTTCAAAAACAGTTGTCACAAAATGAGCAACTCAAATACTCTGATGCGATAAGAGAAAGCTACTCTTTCCCGTCATGAAATTTTGAGTACTTGATGAAGATGTAAAAGATGAAGTGTAAAAGAAACCATCATATTTTACTAGATGTGAAGTAGAGTGAAATCTAAAAAAGGATGGCTGATGTGAGAGTGATGTTTCCTGATGGCAATGGATTTGATGGAGAACGCACGTTTGGTACCCACCACTTGGACGATTACATGGGACTTTCCTAGAAAACGGTAGAATGGGTGGCAAACACCATCATATTACATAACATTGAGGACCATACGAGCGGCTCTAATTTGTACGTTCCGTCTAGCTTAACACGTGAAGCAAAGTATACATAAGATGAAGTGATAAAATTGGTTGCAAACGAAGATAACAACACTGCCACCATGTCAACATGTCTCACCATTCAAGGCTTGAGCTAGACTGGAAACCAACTAAAGGCTCTCCTCTGCACTAAGGTACAGGGTCAGAGTCAAAACGTACAACCTGCATGGCCGATATATACACTTGCTCTTCATATAATGCACTACTCATAACATAGCCTAAAGCCTAAAGCCTGGAGCCTCAGAAAATTCCAAGCACTTTTGAGGTGTTGGTTCTAGAATTGCAGACGTTGTCAGATGAGAACACAGATGGGTTCCAGCCCCTTCAGAAGAGGCTCAGGAACCTTCAAAAGCAGACTTCCAAGCTGACTTCAAAATATAATTCCCCGACGTGGAGCACGTAAATCTTGGGAGCACTCGTATGAGGAGGAGAAGAATGGATGAACGCTGGTGCAAATTCTGGCCTTCTGATCGTCTGCTTCCCAGTAATGAGCATTGAGTGACTACTTCTCAAACCAACCTCGTTTGGTCCAAGAAGGTGATTTCATCATTTGCCCTTTAGCAAAGACAAATTGAAGGTCGAGCTGTTCAGCATCGATCACCAGTAGATCGGCGTCCACTCCTACTTCTAATCTGCCTGCAAGGACGTCGTCGGAAAGGAGAACAAATCATTACTAGGAGGGAGCTCACTAGCTCGATAGATGAATGCATCGTCGATACAGGCAGTACAACAATACAGTTGAAGAAGGGCCAACCAAGTCTGCCATGAAACGTGAATGTAGAAACTTAACCTTTTCGTGGGAGGCTCAAGAAGGTTGCGGGATTGACGGTGCTGAACTGAAGCGCCCGTTCAAGAGGCCAGCCTGCTTCGAGAACTAGCCTTCTAATGGTATTCAAGTTCGAGTCGGGCGAAGCAACGCCGTACTCGAGCAGCTTGCCGCTGGTGTCATAAAGCGGAAGAGATCCAAAGCCATCTGAAGAGATGGAGATCCTGTCCAGAGCAAAGTCGGGCCTTTTGCCCCAGTCTACCAATGTATCGAAGGCTGCAGACTCTCCCTTTTGGTCAGAAGTGAGATCGGCACGTCCACCCTCTGCAACCCATCTTTCTGCAGCCTGGACATACAGAGAACTTCGTGTAAGAAGTAGCATGTCATCGGGGCGTGAAGAAGCACACACAATACAATGTGAGCTTGTTCTGTACAACGCACCTCTTTCAGACCAGGACCTCTGCTCGAAATGTGGGTGGGAACAAATTGTGTAATGGGAATGGCTCCCTTGCTGATGTTGATTACATCCCACAAGGGATCCAGCATTGTCGGCCCTTGGCCCATGTGTGCGTGTACCAAACCCGCTTTTCCCGTAAGCATTCCTCCCACCCGAGCATCCGACACCATTTTCAATAGATCCTGTATTACACGACGAACGTCCAAGGTCAATTGGACTACACAATAGAGATCGGGTAACCTTTCATCCAGCTTTACGACCAGTTTTCAGGAGGGTGGAAGGAGGAAACGGAACAGAATGATATTGAATAAGTTTCTTCTCCAACAAATTGCCCACAAGGGCCAAGGGACCAAGGACAAGAGTCACAACCAACACTCGTAAATATTATGGCCTCGACCAGATCGTTGACAATTCTTAATCGAGCAATTCCGCTTTCATAGTCGGAGTCAATCTCAGTTGAACTGGATATTACTTACAGGGCTCAGAACACTTACATCAGTGCTGGGCCAGCTACCTCGATGGTCGCTTATTGCTATTTCACCAGCACCTACAACTTCATCTATGAGCACCATGTCACGGATGAGAGAGCCTGTAATTGTTGGTGATGGCACTCGGTAGCATCCACTCCACATATAAGCTGTCAGTCCATCGTCTTTGAGCGCAACTGCCTTTACGCGCAGATTCTCCAGGCTGCACGCAAACCAATTCGGTAGGACAGTGACCTCAATTAATATCAACCGAGCAGAACCACAGTCCCCAGTCCATGCACACGAGCTTGAAAGTGGTAGGAATGTAAAGGTCGCTAACAGACAACGCAGATGCCATAAGTCTCAACCTTCAGCGGTTAGGACTCGTGGCAACAAGAGGTGATGAACGAAGGCGAGAATCCAAACCTGCGAGAAACACAATCTGTGCCCAGAATTCCAACGACGGTGGTGAGACCAGCATTGACCAGCTGCGAGAGTCCTGCTTCGGGTGTCCTACTGGCAGGGCCCAGCTCTCCACCGCCTCCGATCACGTGGACATGCATATCGATGAAACCCGGAACCACCACAGATCCATTGACATCGATGATGCTGAGGCCGGGCAGGCCCTCGAGATTGGACCAGGAGAAGCCCTGCTGGTCTTGCAGAATAGCCACGACGGACGTTCCGGCCATCAGAATGTGACTCTTGCCCACGGGCATTGGATTGTAGACGAGCCCATTGACGAGCAAGGTCATGACAGCATCGCTGGGCCCCAACGTGCCGTCGAGCACGCTGGTGAATTTGACATCTGCTGTTGCTGGTGCTGCTTCTTCCCATTGCGTATGCACCGCTTCCCCGCCACCGCATTCGCCGTCAGCAACAATCGGAACGGGACTAGAAATGCTTCTGCTGCTGCTGCTAGTCTCGTCTGCTCCATTTGCATCGAAGCTGCAAACCACTCGCTCTTCGAATCTCGACACCAGAATCACTGCCGCCAAAGTCGGCAGAAGGAGACGATATAAGCTAAACTTGCTGAGCATCGCATCAAATCAATCGGTCGGTCGGTCGGTCGGTCGACCACTTCTTTATCCTCGATCACACGTGACTATCACGAGTGTCGGAGACTACACAAGCACGAAGGAATCTCACATGCTCACTCGATCACACACTGCTGCCATGTCGATCGCCAGTCGACGGGTTTGGTGAGTGCAGCCTCTGCGATTCAGTGTGCTCGCCCACTGGACTTCCAGCATTCAAAAGCTCGACATCTCGAAAGAATTTCTCATTGAAGTGTTACGCAGTGATACGTTCATCACCGTAACCTCAAGCTAGCCCACATACTGTTGTTTTACTTCTCCCTCCCGTCTTCGCCTTCCATGTAAGGCACTCGTTTCTCCAGGCCCGTGATCGATCGTCGATCCCCTCGATCGTTGCTACTCGCAATGCTTCCAAGTTGCGTTCTTCAGGAGGAGGAAAGGATTCGCTATCTAACGTCTTTGATCTATAGGGGTACTTGCTCATGAGTCACCATCTCCCTAGATGCATGTCAGTGAACCATGAAGCTTCGTGCAAAGACGCCGGAACAAAAGTTCGTGTCACGAATACTGAGAAATAACTTCACAAACGTACGACCATCATACGATCCCTCCTGAGGCTTGCAACATTTTCCTAAGTGCCTTGGTTTCGCTCCGGGTCCTGTGAAGGTGCCACATGTGCGCGACGCGAGCATCTGGTCCTAGAAGCTCGATCAGTGCATGGATGGGGTTTAGCTCTCACTGCTCAGAGTTTTGATTGACTCCACCGACGAAATGGGCAGTTTGGCACGATACTTACGAGTCATCATCATCCTGGCCTCGCTGAAGTTTGGCCGAGGCACAAAAAGGTCCAACGCTGCATTAACCCGTCCCCGAATCTAAATAACTGGACATCCTCTTGCATCTGAAGGGGACGTGTACTTAGTCGAGCCACCTGTGTGAGGAGAAGGATAAATGTCGTACACGATCACGGACAAACACCAGCGGATGACAATTATGAACCTTCAGACACGACCAGGGCACAAAAATCGGGCAGGCAGTGCACGCAAGTTGTCAAGGAGTCTTGGCCAGAACGAGAACGAGACCAACGAATCCGGAGTATATTATGATAGGCTCAAGAAACAAAAACCTAAACACGTGATTTACAGTGAGCCGACTCAAAGAATGGCATTGATTTGTGAGATGTCAGCTGAGTAGCAACAGCAACGGTGGGCCTAAACTATCAATGAATGTTGCACTGTTGCACGTACGAGAAGGAGAAGTCTACATACTTTTCCCATATAGGCTTGTATCTACTCATGGCTAGTTTCAGCCAGGGCTTCATGTTCCCATTGAAGTGGACGACGGCTCCACCTTCAATCAACTGACTATCGATGTTTGCATCGTATCCTAAGCCCAACACATGCCACCGTGGGTCTAGTGAATGCGTGAGTCCGTAGAAGGTCAGGAGACCAGGAGGCAAGGTGCCTAACTTCCAGAGAGTTCTATCGACGTTTTGCTCCTGCCAATAATGATACCTGCTTGTTACGTTGGCTGCCTTCCACGCGACAAGGTCAAACACGTTCATCCCGAAAGCCCATCCACAAGACTCTGGATCGAAGTGGGAGCTGATTCGGGGGTCCGAGAAGTTGAGGTACTTGTGGAAGCGGTGGAAGCTTTCCAAGCAAGTCTCGACTGCTCCGTTGACGTTGCCGTGAAGATCAACAGAAAATAAGGCCGTCACGTCCCTTTGGACCACGACGTCGTCATCTAAAAACACAACCTTTTTTAACTCCGGGTACACCTCTGGTATGTAGAAGCGCAGATGATTCAACATCGACAGGTACTTGGGGTTGCGAAACTTCAGGGTAGCTTTGGTGTCGGTCGATCCGGACTTGAAGTAGTAGCTGCGGGTCTCTGCGTCCCCAAGCTGCTTCAGCACCGGTACGTAAGAAGAGTTCAACCACGTGAATCCATCGATGCTTTGCACTTCGATCGCTGCACCGTGAAGATCAATCAGGGCAAACCAAGCTTGCATGGCGCCGTAGTTCATGTGATCCGTTACGACATGAAAGACCAGCCGATCCGGATGATCGGCATTTTGGATGGTGGAGTTCACGACCACGCTCGTGGCCAGCACGTTGTCGGAAAAGACACAGAAGTGATACAGATTGTTGTCCGTTAACCTCTTGTCCTGCTTTCGGCTCTCGACACCGGCTCGTAAATCACCTGTCGTAGCCCATACCATGGTCAGTCGCATTCCGAGGCAGTGCAGGCCCTTGGGAACAGCCTCGGCCGCAAGCTGTCCAAACACCGTGCTTTGAGCAGCCGCTGCATTGGCGCGCTCCTCCAGAGCTTGCATTTGTGCCTTCAGCTTCATGATCATTGTCGCACTATCGTAATGAAGATCTTTGGCTTGTACAGTCAAGGCAGACAGAGCTTTCATCACTGGTTCAGCTTCTGCAAATGAAACCGGTGTGCCACTGGTAGCTGCCTGCGACAGAAGGTTCTGACATGCTCGAATTTGTGCGCTGAGCTCCCATGCCAATCCATAATTGCTATTTTCCTTCGCCATTACGACGTAAGCCTTGGCCAACGTCAACTGATCTCCCAGCTGCCTTGCCACAGACGCTGGGTTGAACAACTCCGAATTGCCCAACAACTCGGGCCTGACATCAATCCTCTGAAACAGAACATAATCCATAACACAGCTTTCGTCAAGTAATTTCTTTCACACTGCGAGCAAGACGGAGCTACTATAAGTGAGACAAGAGATGCACATGCAAGTTCCGAGTAACAAATGAACGCCTGATTTGAGAAGCTCTACGTACGAGACACAGACAGTGTCTGAGCAAGAAAGTGGTCTCTATGTAGAATGCTACGAGGGGGGGCGTAACCACACCACACCTCACCTCATCAGAGTAGCTGTCGGCACCGCTTCCATCGACTTGTAGTAACTGCTTAGAGGGAATGAGCCTCGGAACGCAGAAAATCACATAGCAGCAACTGACTAGACCTGCGAATAATAAAATGGATGTGTAAGAGAAGCGACGCCGGGTCGACCTCCGACCATCGCTCAACCTTCGACTCATCCGTAGGGATTTGTGTTTCCGCGGCACATACAGGCCTGACCTAAATTCCTCGTCACGCCCTGGTAAATCCCCGACTAAAAGTGCTTTATTACAAAGGTGGTCGGTTTCGTGGACTCCTCCCTAATTGGTAACTCCTCTACGATCATAACATCCCCGATAGCTTAGCATTGACACCATGCCCGTCGATAATAGCTGCAGCTTCGAAATTTCACAGGAGTCGCTCTTTCAACAAAAGAGGGTACTGCCAGAAAGGACATAGATCTTCAACCTCTGGTCTCGGCTGCAGGGAGAAAATGCAAATCGCACGAGGGATTAGATGCCAGAAGCGTCACCGTGCACAACACACCGTCCCCTCGCACAGCCCTAAGCAGGGCGAGAGTACGCATCCACAAAAGCACATGACACTGACCACTCCACACTCACTCATGAAAAACTTCCGAGTCCTCCCTGTCTTCCGGAACCAGTCTTATCAGGCTTTTCCTCATTAAGCGTTCCTCGACTCGGATCCTATTCGTTTCTGCACTCTTCCGGCGCAGGAGATCTCCGTGGGTGGCAAACTTCACTCACGAATCCAGTATACTGAAGGGCCAGGCCGCCCGGCCCATCCCATCACCTATCTCGTCTAAAACTAAACCACAATTGTCACCGAACGCCGAGGCCAGCAATGGCGAGGTAGGTGCGGTGCATTGGAGGGCACAGTTGTAATTAGATCGCCGGTACCAATCGAGGGCCTCTCGCTTACATCCGCCCAAACTCGAGCAGCACATACAAGCACGGGCTGCCTCTTCCGAGTGTAAGAGTCAGTGGAGGGAGCGAGCAAACTCCATCCCCTTACGATCATTCCACCGTGTAAAGGACGAGAATATGCGCAGTGGTCCGGCGACGACCATTGTACACGAAAACTTTATCATAAAAAAAACTCTTCGATTCCACAGGCCGAAAACCGAAGCTCCTCCTCAGCACAGAAGAGCAGAAGGGACGGGACGGGATGGAAAGGGAGGGGAAGAGAAGAGGAGAGAAGAAAAGGCAAGGAAATGGAGACCGACCGTACCTTCATAAAGCAGCAGCAGCAGCAGCAGATGCTCCCAAAGACAGAAAGCTGACCGCAACCAAAACCAAAAGCAGCACCGACATTCTTCTAAGCTTCGAGCCGGTGGACTCCTCCGATCTGCACACTACAGCGGCTACATCTCTCCAATCGCCCATCCGATCAGCTAAACGCAGCTTAAGAATTCCCGAAGATACGCAACCCAGTCGCGATTGCCGGTCCACGGCTGCAGGATTCGGTCCCTTTAAAATATCCGCCGAAACTCAATTCTTTTCACCGACGAAAGCCCCCCACATTGCTCATCCGCATGCCCTCCGCCCGCTTTCATTTGCGCCTCGCGATCCAAGAAACCGCGCAGCCCGTGCCCACAGTTGCGCCCAGACGAGACGAGACGAGACGAGCCGAGCCGAGCCGCGACGAGGACAAGCTCTCGCCCGTCCCTCCGAGCTCCTCCTTGTTCCTTCGCCTTCCCCCCTCGCCCTCCCCACTCCCCCCGCGCCTGACTGACCACACCCGCGGCTGCCGCTGTGCAGAGGGACGTTGTTCTGCCCCCCGCGCTCTCCGCTCCCTTCCCTCCCACCCGAAGAAGATCCGCGGATGCAGAGAGACGGACAGACGGACGGACAGGGAACGATCCTGTTTCCTTCCCTCGAGTAGGAAGGCTGGAGCTGGCAGCGGCCACTACTGTAGTCAGTCCGTCGGTACGGCGGACATGGGACGCATGGTTTCCGGCACTGCGACGGTTGTGGAATACGGTCGTGCGGGTGGGCGTACTGTACCGTAAAGTACAGCACGCACCGCAAGGCGAGATGAGATGTGCCGCAGGCGGCTGGTGGCCGGCCTGGGCCGAGGAGGGAGGGAGGAAGGCTGTTGTTGGCTCGTGTCATGAATTGCAGATGCTCATGATTTGACTTGATTCCCGGACGAGGAAAGTGTAGTTTTGTGTGGGGCGATGCGATGGAGGGGAATGGATCGAGTGATTGATTGAATTAATGAATGAATGATTGAATGACTGGAGGATAATTTTTATGAGTGTGCGAAGTTTCGCTTCGTCCCAAATGCCTGCAAATGCAAGTTCAGTTCCATTCCATTCCATTCTATTCCATTGCATTGCGTTGCGTTGCGTTGCCCGAGGAGGGCGATGGAAGGGCGACTGCCTGTCCGGCGCCCTCGTGATCATGCAGATAGATAGATGCTAACACGCGAGCTCCATCAAGAAAAGCATCCATTTAATTGCCATAAAATGTGCTCGTCTCTCAGATGCTCTCCTGATGCTCTGCGGTGTAATGCGAAGGGCTTGCGTAAGTTCAAGGCCACACGCTCTATTCCACGAGCGACCGCTGGGACCTCATGTTCTATACTCGTAAATTACTGACGCGATGGCCGAGGTTCATTATCTGCAACAGCTTTGAAGTTTGAAGTTGTAAGACAAATCATAATAGACAAATCGCAAGTCATCGTGATCATGCATTTGATGTCTATGTTCGTAATGGAGTTTCATGTAGGAGTAATTATATATATGCCTGAAGGGAGGAGCTCAGAGAATGCTGATACTTTTTTTATGGATCATAATGTCAAGCTCATGATTCCGAGCACTGTGTACGTGGATGATCAAGAACTCAGCCCGTTCAAAATGTATATGTATAAGCTGATGTAAGGAGACTTACGACTCCCCCTCGTCGTAAAGTGTGCTCCAACTTTACTTATCAATCGTAACATCCTTCGATTTCGCGCTTTTGAACTCGATGGATCTTCTGAACTTGATCCTCACATGTTCATATAAGAGTGCACCATCATGACGCATACAAAAGAAGTGGGCGAGAATTTGACTATGGTTGATAGAGGTGACAGGTAAGCTATAAACAAGTCTAGGTTCCTCTTTCTTTGAAAACGCCTAAGCAGAAGTTTCCACTCCTCTGAACATCCTGAGAAATAGTGAGGGTGAAGGTTTGGCCAGACCAGAGCGACAAGGCCTCGCACATTAGAAGACTTCATGGCCTACTATCTATTTCGTAATTTCGTTATCATGAACGCGAGGGATTTGTGAACGAATCTTTCACGAGACTCTTTTCTGCGGAAGGAAATGTTCAGAAGGGTGTCTAAGAACATCTGGTGAGCTTGGCGACCACATTTTATTAATTACGTGGTATATAATGTTTGGCTCGTGCAAATATTTCTGGCGAGATATAGACTGAGATCCCGTTTCCTCAGGTCCTTACTTCTGTGCTGGGCCTACTATACAAAGGACAATGATGGAGGAAGAGTCAAACTACAATAGAGCAACTACTTTCGCTGCAATGCCGATGGTTCTCCTGTTAGTAGGGCGATGTGTCCAAGATGGTCGTACACAAGCTCTGCTACGTGGCACAGTCATCTAGCAGTTTTGGAGATTAATTTCTTTGCACGGAAATTTCTGTTCAGTTCCGGCTTCAGTGTTTTGGAGATCTTCACTCTCACTTTCAGTATCATCGTACACAGACCTCCCAAACTCGTTCATCGGCCCTCCTTCATGACTGACAGTTCGGGTTTCATGAGGAAGGTTTTCTTGTTCAGAATTCCGATCATCATGAGCTGTGTTGAATACGTCTGCGTCCTCACGGGCTTCAGAAACTTGGAATTGGATATCCTTCTCAGGCGCTTTCACCAAATCTTTTTCCTGTTCAAGAAGCTGATGCGGCTCACTGGCCGGAAAATTTTCAAGACATTCCACTTCCTCATCTTCGACCTCCATCTCGTCAGGGTTCTCCGAACTAACGCCATCAGCCGATCGCAGTACCTCGTCATCCTCACCCTCACCCTCACTTTCACTCATCTGAGGAATCTCTGAGCTAGATTCGTCGTCTATGGCATCCTCTTCGTCCACGGCAGCTTCAGCTTCAGGAAGGTTGAGATCTACGACAATGATTCCAGCGTCGTGGATCACCGGTTCCAGTGCCTCTTCACGAAGATTTTGTAGCCCCTGACCTTCAAAAACATCATTCTCAACCTGCACTTCCTGCACCACATCTTCAACGTTGGGACCATCATTGTCACCGACCTCTATTACCTGCTCTACATCTTCGACACCAGGAACATCACGATCACCGACCTCCATTTCATTCACTGCATCCTCTTCACACTGAGGAATCTCACACTCAATATCGTCATCACCAATGTCCACCATCTCTTCGGCCTCCACAACTTCAGGAGACACAGATACAGGATCACAGATCACATCATTCAAATGGCATGTCTCCGTCTCACACTCGTTGCTGGTTTTCACCAAGTTTGTGGACTTACAGTTTTGTTCACCGTTCCCTTCATGCTTGTCTGAAATTTCCGCGTACTCCTTCAGTTGTGCAGTCGGAACTCCGAAGTCACCTTCCTTTCTACAGCTAGAGATGGTCTCAGTGTGCTCTTTTAAACCTTCTAGGCCTTGCCCTCCGTTATCGTAAGCGTGGTCAGAATCAGAGACTGACGAGATGGTGTATCTTGACTCTTCGACGCTTGTCTCCACGATAAAAGCAGGACGTACCCATACGTTCTCTTCATAATCCCCCCCAGAATCTTCTACGAGTGGATGACGAGAGCCTTCTGTGAGAGATTCCTTAACCTCTTCATCCCAGGCACTTGCTTCACAACCAGCTGCTGAGTTCTGGATCTTCCCGGTCTCCTCCACGTCCAAAACATCATCAGACACTTGAGAAAATGCTACTTTGTCCAGAATCCGATCTTCACCTTCCACTGTTACAGTGCCATCTGATGGTGATCTCAGATTCAAAGAAAGCTCTGGAACCTCGCTAGGGGTTAGACCTTCGATCACCCCGGAAGAGGAAGGAGCAGAGTCTGATGACTTGGTTATCACATTTCCACGGATGTCCAGGGCCCTTTTGAGTACATTAAGGCCCTTTCCCTGTTCTTCACTTCGCCCACCTGCCAGCCCGCATTTTCCATCATTAGAACTCTCTTCTACTAAAGAAACCTGCTTGCCATCACAATCGTCATGGTCATTCTGAAGCCCTGGAAACTCCCCAGGTTTGCTATTACCTATTTCATGATCTGGCTCAGATGAGTCACTCCCCTTGTTATCGAGTATGGCATCAACAGCCTCAAGAATCTCTTTGGGCTGGCAAAGGGTTTTGGAACTATCCGTAAAATTGACCTCCCTGACTACAACAGAAAGGTTTGTGTTAGAGATGTCATCCGCCTCACGGGTAAGGCTAGCATTTTTGGCAACATCTGCCTCACCCATCTCCTCTGGTTGATTAAGTGAACTGCAGTTATCTGCCTTGGGAGACTTTGAGCGTTCGTTTTCAACTTTTCTTCTCTTTCTTCTTCCTTTCCGGGCCATCTTCCGTGATGGTTCCTCTGACTCACGTGCTTTACTCTTGGATGATAAATGCATAACCCTGGCACATGAGATGCTTGACAATCCGAAACTCGCCTGAGAGTGTTGAGGGTAAGTTTGCCTCCGACGCTGAGAATTTCTCAGAAGATAGTCTTCGGGTGGAATCTGCTCATGTACATAGCGCTGCACCAAACCGTCCTGAGGCCGCTGGTGAAAATGTTGGTGTTGATACTTAGCTGCTCTTCGAAACAGCCTGATCAGATCCCTCACCTGCTTCAAAAAACCCTTCACTGGTTGCAGCCTGAGTGTACACTTGTGACAAACATGAACACCGGAAAAGACTACACTAGCGTATATACGGCCCATCTTGTGGGCTCGGTTGAAACAAGATTCTCCCGTTGTGCAACAAATTGCGCTGCAATTCCACTGACATGAAGAGAAAGGCGTTTTCGACCTGGATTACTTAAAATTAAAGCTCTGTCACTTCAAGCCATTAGCGAGTATGAGTTGCTCCCTGGCAGCCTTCGCTTTTCTATAGATCAGTCTGTGGTGCGGTGTGCAAGTGGACGGACGTGTGTCCCACCATCGCATGACAAGTCTGGCAATGTTCCCAGAGTTATTCAGCTCACGACGAGAGAGTAGCTTTCCAGTGGTTTTCATGAGACTCTATGATTTATTAAGAATTCTCCGGAGAACAAATTGGAATGTGAAACCGACGCACCTGGGAGCCACTGAGAGTAAATTTGAACTTGAAGCCGTTCAGAAAGTTGTCCTTAATGGCAGGCTTGAAATCAACCAGGCGAAGATTAGGACACTGCTCAACGCAGCAAACTTGTACCTGCACAATCGACCATTATCGAAAGTCATCACACTCAGGTCTCAAGTCTGATCTATAGCTGAGGAACATGAAGACAATCAAATGAGCAAGAATTCCATATGGGCTCGTAATAGCCCATACTATCGACACTACTTGACGAGAAGAGCTACAGGGGAGCTGGTCTAGAGTGGCCCTCTTCTCCTCTGGACCTCAACGAGGCGAACGCAGCACGTATACATTACAGCTTCGTGATCGTAGAAATTCATGAATGTGCTGGCGATTATGAAGCACCGGAAGAACCTGTGCAGGGAAGGAGCCGAAGTCTCGAAAAGCATCCGGCTTTATCATCATCCCGCCGTAAGAAATGGCCTCGAAGACGCCCGAAAGCTCTTTGGTATCAAAGTTGAAGAGAAACAGCTTGGTTCCAGGAGCCACTCGCATGACCTCGTCCTTGTTCTTGGTCGGCAGCCCGAAGAGTTGCAGCCTCATGCACTCGTAAAACGTGACAGAAGAGCACCCGAAAATCATTCCATCCAGCGGCGCATCGATCACGGCTTCAGGTTCCTCCGACGCTTTCTTCTTCGTCTTCTTGCTTCTGCTCTTCTCGTCCTCGAAGTCCGACAGATCGGCGCCCAGCGAGCCGAGCTCGGAATCTTTGTCCGAGTCGACGTGGTTCTCGTCCTTGTGCCCGGACTCCGGGACCGTAGGCCGTTTGGATCCCGTACTGCCCTTCGTCGCTCCCGGTGAACGAGGGCCGCCTTCGGAAGGTTGGGAGCCATTACGCGGTTGGTCTGCGCGGTTACCGTCGGCGCTCTTCGGTGCACTGGACTCGACTCTGTTGGCGCGGCCGGGGCCGGGGGGGCTGTTGATTTTCTTCTCGCTGCTGTCGAGGGCCCGCTCGTCGTCTTTCCGCCTTCTTTCTCGAGGGGGCTCTTTCTCCCTCTCGCGTCGAGCCCCGCTACCGCTACCGCTACCGCCACCACCACTGCCGACTTTCGGTCTGTCGGAACGAGGTTTCGGTTCCGCGGCGCCGACTCGACGCAGTTTGGCCTGACGATAGTTCGAGTACATGTCCACTTCGGGCGGAGGAGCGACGTTGTTCGCCATCATCGCATACCTCGCCCTCTTGATCGCCGGCTCCGGTGACAAGCAAGCGGCCGCGTATCTGACCAGCTTCTCCGGCTGCACGGCCAACAGGTAGCGCTCGAAGTCGCGGCCCTGTCTTGCCACGGCGCCCGCGCCGAGAACACCGTGCTGGCCAGTGCCAGTGCCGACACGCGAAACGGGCAATTCTTGGTCTTCGTACGAGGATCCGGAGAACCTCCGTGGGCCATTGGCGTATGCTCCGGCCGATGCACTTCCTTCCTTACTCATTCCAGGATCGCCCGAATTCCCGAGCCGGCCCAAACGCGCACCTACCGGAGGTTGACCATATGCCGCGACGATTTCTGCTCGGCGAGCCCGTAGTAAATTTGTTGATCCGAACGCAGCTGCTGCACCGGATTGCGGATGCCTTCTGCGTTGCGTTGAAGGGTAAGGAAGCACTTCGCCCATACCGGGTCTGGCTGAGAGAGCTCGAGGATCTACATGATCGGCATAAGTTTGATTTGGATCTGCGTAAGCAGCTGGTAACGAGGATCGGCGTTCGGAAATCAATTGGGCTCGAATGTCTTGAGACTCTGAAGGCAGATAATAATCAAAACGACCGCCGACTTGGGTTGCACTCTGAGCATAGTGCGAATTTAAGTGATTGCCTTGCGAGTAGTAAGGGTCGTGTGCTCTCGCATCCGCGTAGGGCGTTGGGGAATATATCTGGGCCCCTTGCGCGCGTAAGAGTTGAGTTCCAGCGGACCTAGCCATCAGTTGATAATGCCGCTCTGTCATGGCCTCCCGGATGAAGCTACAAGGAGAAATAACTGCCGAATTGCCAACGAATAAGTCTGCTTCCCCTTTCCTTCCAATCCCTCCTCAACTTACTCGTCGAGCATCCTGACACCAAATCAACGCACCCCTTCTGCAACTCCACCGTCCAAACTCTCTGACCTTCTCCGACTCTTCCTACATGCTGGCCTCATCCTCCACCCGCCACACTTTGAAATGCCTCCTTTCAAAAAGGATTCAACCAAAACCCTCTCGGGACCAAGACAGACTCCCGATCCTAGAGAGAGCTCTCAGCCAAATCTCCAACAGGATTCAACCCTCACCATCTCCAGCCCTGCGCTTTCCTGGATCCCACTTCTTCACACAAACTTGTCAAGCCCTATACTTGCGCTCCCGCGCCCCGCCGACTCACCGACCCTCTATCTGCCTGCCTTCCTTGCTTCACTACCACCTCCCTCGTCGATCGATCGTCGAATTGCTCGACGTCCGCTGCTCGTCCCTTCGTCCAAAGTGGCGACCAACAGGCGAGTCGGTTTCTCGCTTCTTTCCTGCGCTTCCAACAGAATTCAACCGCAAACAAAACAGGAACGAGCGAATCTGCAGCTGCTCGTTTACTTGTGCCCACGCAGCGCACACAAGAGCCCTGGTGGGAAGAAAGGGCTGGCCGCCGACAAGTCACCAGAGACCACGCCACCTGGCAGAATCCAGTAAGGCTGACCTGTCAATCCTACGGGATAAGCCTCGGTAAGTTGGTTCTGTAAACTACGCTCACCTTTTTTGAAGGGTAGCAGGGCTTATTGTGTTCATGTGCTATCCACATGGTGTTCGTAATCGTTTATATGCATTCTTTGATTGAGACAATCATGATTGATCATGATTTAAATTCATTCGTTGTTTCTATCAAACGTGGGTTGATCAAAGGTCAGATAAATCAGGGTTTGAAGTAAAACTTGACTACACCTTGTTGCACTTAACTGTTGTGTAGTAAACATTGGAAATGAGTTTTGAATTTGTTTTGTTATTGCATATATTCTCATCATGTTAAGATGTATGTATTTAATTGATTAAAATTATATGGTACATCTATATAATAAAAATCAACCACTGAAATGAAGATACAAACAAATTGTGATAAAGTTGATTTACTATTTTAATTATTTAAAATATATCAAAAACCATTAAAAAAGAACAAAACATAGAAAAAATATCACACATTATTATTTTATGAAACTATATTTAAAATTCACATATGTGGAATGAAATTTAATTTTCAAACTATAGTTATCTTCTGTTCAAAAATTGTGCATAAGTCATAAAACTCACAATAGCTATATTTAATGTCATGCATGATCTCATAGGAGAATGAGTGTGTATTAACGCAGAGAAGAAGAAGAAACTCCCTTAAGCAAAGTAGGAAATTCTGTCTTTAGTAAGAGAAAGTAATTTCATTAATTGAGCATAGTTGAAACAAGAAAAAATATCCCTAAGAAAGAGAGACTTTTCTTTTCTAAACTAAATCAATACTCCAAGCTTATAAGGATTTGACGAATACTTCATTGGTACAACCCCTTAAGGTAAGATCACTAGAAACTTGAATCTGTACTAATTTTGTGATTTGTACTAATCTTCTATAATTTAGGTCAAAACTAACTACTGCTGAAGCAAGAGGTTCTAAGGCTCTCAACCGATTGGGAATAGAATTGACAACAATGACGATTAACTTGAACTCATTCATCCACTGCAAAAGGAGCATTTTCCACGTTCAACGCCAATGCAAGCGCTCATAAGCAAGTTTTAGCAACCCTCAATTACTCATCTAGTTTAGATGACAATACACAACAAGTGTAGAAGACAATTACAATGCATAATCTCATTAGAGTAGTTTTTGCTATAACATTGAGTATATGAGCCGTTAGTTATCCCTCACTTTTGGTTAATTATCTCTTACCCTACTATATTTTTGTTTGTAAAGATCTGTCATTGGTCAGATATACGGACGGAACGTGCAACTGGCAATGACGGAGCCGGAATCTTCATCCTCATACATCAAGTTTTTTGTTCGCGTCATACTCCGTATGTCTTGCTTTGTGGGCCTCCCCTTGACTCCCTTCACACGAATCGATTCTTTATCTCTGTAGACTCCTCACATTGCATTGCGAATTGGATGTGTACTAACAAGTACTTGCCTGCATCTGCAAGAATCCATGCGTCCGGATCTGCCCTTCCGCATTTCTTTTGGAAAAACTAGATCTTGAATTTTACTAGACTGGTTAAAAAAATTCTTCTACAGGCGCAACCGTTAATAAAACAAAAATGGAGATAGTCCAAAAACCTTTGCTTCATCGACATTGCCAAATGAAGATAAATGGCTTCGAAATTGCTGCACCGAGCAATGCCATGGCCAGTAGATTTTGACAGCTCCAAGCTAGAATCTTGCTGCATTTTCACGAGAGACAAGAGTTCACCGCTGGATGCATTACGACGTGGGACTCCCTTATCCCCGACGAAAATAGGAGAAGAAGAAGGAGAGGCCAAACTTTTAATGGGGGTACACACGGGAGTGAAAAAGACTGACACACAAGGACCTAATGTATCAATTTTTGTTCACTGGAAATGACGGAGATTCCGTCTTGTTCCTACATCTGACCAATCACATACCTCTACACAAGAGAGTATAGTATGATGAGGGATAATTAGCCAAAAGTGGGAGATAACTAGCCGAGCGGCTAGTTATACCTCCATTTCCAGTTTCAAGTTCAAATGGAATTGGAATTGTTGTAGATAAATCAAAATATCAACTTGAAATGTTGTAGATAAATATCTTGTGTTAACATGATGAAGTTAGTTTAGACAAAATTTGAATTCTTAATTTGAATATAAAAAAAAGATAGTAATCGTTCATTACTTTGATGTATGGCAAATGTAACGGAAATTGCAAAAGTTTTATAATAAATGCTAATGAGTTTTGATGATATTATCTTATATTCTGATTATAGTTCATTGAAAGTCTGGCGGAATTTAGAATATTCAAAAGCAAATATTATGAAAATGCTAATTTGCGCTGCATACTACATCAAAATAAAATCTTAAACAATTATTTCATGAAAAAACTTGTCTCAAAAATATCTTGAGACTTTCATATCAATGTTTAGCTTAAAATGTGAATATAACAAGCTTCATAAAGTGAAAAAAAAGTATTTCTAAAGTGCTTGATTGTGCATTATATTACATGAATGATGATATAATTTAAAAAGTACAAACAAAGCATGGAATCACATGTAATAAATAATAAAGATAAAATTCTCAATATCCCATATTCCACACAAAAAATTAAAATTTTTTACAAAAAAGATAGATGAATTTTATCATACTCTATAATTATGACTATTCAAAATCTGGAAAATCAAAATATTGGCAAGATTTTTTACTTAATATTTTCATCAATGAATTAAATGAAATATTTTATTGATATTGCACAAAATCAATATCAAAATATGTAAAAATATACATTATTTCCAGACTATCACGATAATAACAAGTTTTTTTTGGAAAAACAAATGTGTTTGTGTGTGAGTGAGATATTCTACTTGAAAGATCAACAAGTAATGAAGTGTTCAGTTTAGAATAATATATTCTGACATATTCTCAAGCATGTTTGTATTAGGCAACCGGATATATGGTCGCCTAAATTACCTAAACTTTATGTTGATTAAGCGCCTAAATTAAAATGGATGTGATTGGTGCCTACGTGTTGCAACCAATGATGAGATGACACCTATGCAAAATTTGTAGATTTTTTAATAATTTATTTTAAATTCATGTAAAAAAATAAATTTTTTAAGGATAAAAAATTTTGTAGACTAAAGTAGCTTAAATTAACTTTTTAGTGGGTCTAAATTAACGTTTTAGAAAAAAAATAAATTAATTTTTGTGAGTAGATTAAATTAACCGTATTTAGTTACTTTAGGCAAGTACCTATTATAACCATGCATGCATATTCTGGATTTGATATTCATTTTTGATCAACATAATTATTAGAAAAGAAAGTTATATTTTATTTGAGTCAATTTGATCAAAAACATATAGTCAAAATATAATTTATGAATGAGTATATTTGAAAATCAAAAATCAAATTTCATATGGAATTTATTTCAAACCTCTCAAATATAAAATAATCTCACAGATCACTAAAATATTTCATAAACTCATACAATAGTTATTTATAGTAAATTCACAATAGTTTGATTTTATGATTGAAAATATAAAAGTAGTTTTAAATTTTATTCAAGAGTCATATAAAAATGTTGATATTGAAGCTTGATGATTTATTGATATTGATATGAAATCTATTTAAATTAACTTGTATTTATAAATTGAATTGAAATGAAAATTGAAAGAAATTTGCAATATCAATTTTGATTTAGAAGATTAAATTTGTAACTATTAGTTATAGCAATTATTATCTGCACTCATTCTGTGAAAAATATTGATAATTTTTTCTTTTCAAATTTTAAAAGTAAATTCGATTCAATAATATTTATATTATATGGATACATGATATTATTATTTTGATTTTTACATATTTCTAAAAAATATTATTTGGCTTTATCAATAATTTAGAACATTAAAAAATTCTCATATGTTAAGATTAATACTTCTTTTTCATAGCTTACAAAAATCATAGCGTAAAAATATATCTCTAAACTATATTAATTTTAAAAAACACATAATTGAAATTGATAAAAAATAAAAATATATTGAATAAATTCAAAATAATATAAAAACACTTGCTAGAATACATATATAATATATATATGATAAAAATATTATAAGATAAAAAGTAGTAAATTTTTTATAAAGTAATATAAAAATTTATTATTTTTATTATTTTTAACAAAAAATATAACCTGCAAAATAAACAGCTTGAAATAAAATTAAAATTATAGATGATCTCTAAATACAAAGCTTTTTGTATGATACATAAATCTACAAAATACGGAAAGTCATCAAAGTAAAGTACGGAAGAAATGACATTTAGTAAAAATCTCATATATTTTATTTATATAACATTAAAATTTGACGTCAATATAATAAGATTTTAACAAATTTTGATTGTCCTTTTTTTGGATTCAATATCAAGAAGTTGTTTTTGATTGTGGCAATGTTTGAAGAGTCTATTTCACTATATTATCAATGAACTTTTGTTGCCAAGAAAATCTCCAACCAATCTTGATAATTCAAAACTATTTGAACAACTTACCGTGTTTTCAAAATAAGTTACTCACATAAGTATGGATTCAAAACTTTTTAAAAAAATTTGGTTGATTTTGTCACGTTTGGCTTTATTTGTGCTCATATTACAAATTTTTTTTTCAAAGCCCATAGTGCTGCGGATAATTTTGGCCAAATGGCTTGCATTTTGTCAATTAGAATATTTAGTCTTCGCAAAAAGATATTCAATGAGACAAGGATTCTAGAAAATTCGCAACAAACAATTTTGTAAATCTTGTGCATCCCAATATTGATTTGATCCATCATATAATAGACACAAATGAAGCATGGTGTGATGAATTTTTAAATGTGCGTAACAACTCCAAATGCTTCATCACATTAATAGCATAATTGAATCAACATCACCGCAGCTTGTACTCCTATGACAAATAGAGTGCATCAAACAACTTCAAAAAATCCAGTACAATACATCAAGCGAAAAAAAATTGTAATAAGGTGAACATTAAGAAGAGATAATTTTTGATAAAATTGAGTTTGGACATCAGTAAAAGATGATTCTTGCAAATCACAAGATACATCACATATGTTAATCATTTGGATTGCAAAATCTAAATTTGGATATCATTTGTATTGCAATCCAAATGATCACATCATTTGTGATGTTTTCAATGCATATGACCTATGCAGTTCTAACATACAAAGCAACTAGATAATTATTGCAAAATTCTAATTTGTAAATATCACACTTTATTATTTTGCATCTTGAATGTCACTAAAAAGCTTATAAATTCAAATTGTTTTGTTTGGCTACTTTGATTGCATTTGCTCAAAATTGAACATCTAAATCATTTTCATGCCGGAGCAATTTGCCAATAATCACGTCAAGATATGAAGGTTTAATGACATTAAAATACTTCAACCTTTACTATGATGAGAACTTTTGATATTTTCTCATCTGATTTGATGCTTGAAGTGAAGATGTTGCGTGTAGATATCAGTTCTGAAAGATGTACTCTCATATGTTCAAGATGTTGACAATAATTTTGCTTATGCTTAACGGCCGAAACATATACAGACACCACAATACTGCAAATGATCATGCAATGCAGAGAGCATAATGGAAGAGGTGTTTTGGCTGAAACATACTTTTGTGCTCCAACTTTGCAAAGACTTTTTGTAGTGGGGTGAGTGCACTTCATTGAGTTAAGAGAATGCAACAAATGACCATAAATGCAGCTACATAAGAGCCTGAAATTGTGTGACGGAACTCAAAAAGTGATAATTGATCATAGTCTAGATTTAGTTTAGTTTAGTTCAAAAAATATGAAAACTCATGGTAGAATATATTAATTTTTCTAGTGGATTTTTGTATTTAGAATAGCTTGCAAATAGACGATACCTTTGAATACTTTTCAGATTTATATTCAATCAAAATTAAATATTATAAATTTTAATTTATATCAAGAAATTGATATTTTAGATAAAAGTATTGATAATTTTTGCCACACATTGAAAGTTATTATTTTTTTTCCAAAAATACTGGTCATTTGGATATGTGAGATTTGAATATGTTAATGTTAATTGCTCTAGTTTTTGTGTTAAAAACTATGTTACTTATATTGTGTAATTTATATTTTTGCAAAATTTACTAATATAAAATAAAAATTAATCTTCAAAAATGAATAAAAGAAGAAAAAATGTGTTATAATAAATATATCAGAATTCCTCAACGTGAATCATTGTTGAAAATTTCTTTAATTTTAAACATTTTGAAATTGAATGTATAGTACTATAGATGAATCATCTTGATGATCAATCTTCATCTCATCACACTAGTTTAATTTAATGATTAGACCACAATGTGTGCTAGATAACATTTAATTACACCATGATGTAATTGTGCCTATAGTCTAATTGAAATCTAATCAATAAGTTTTCAAATAATCAGTTAAAAATGTTATATTTGTCAAAATTAGAAGAATTCTTACAATTGAAAAAATTTCTAATTGAGGAAGTTAAGAATAAATGTAGGCTCCATAAAAATTGATAATGAAAATTTTAACCTTAGTTTTGTAAAATATTAATTTATTAATCTTGTATTTACATTTAAATAATAAATCCCTTACATATTCATAGATGCTAAAACTCCTAATAAAATAAAAGCCTACATAGAGGATACTATTGACAGGTTTATATCAAATGTACAATCCGAGGACAACTTAGAATGTACAATCCGAGTATCGGCTTTGACTAAATTAAAGTCTTTACGAGTTGTAATCTTTGGAGTAACCAAGAACTTGCATTTCTAGATGGCATATGAATATTATCTAAAACTCAGCATCATCTCGTGACATGTTTTTAAGATAGATAATGTACAATATACTGAAATCGGAGTAATCTCATAGAATGGATTTCTCCAATTAATCCATTCTATGAGAGTATATATGTATATATATACTCTTTCATACATATATACTCTATATACATATATATAGAGTATATATGTATATAAAACACATTGTAAGGTGTTGTAATGTTATTAGATACAAGACTCCAGTAGCAAAATGAAATTATATACGGATCACTCGAACTTTACTTCATAGTAGAGTTCTTGTAGTTTGTTAACTTTGTGACAAAGCATGGCAGCTGCCTTACGGCTGCGTTATCGTTACTACCCGCAATCAGATACGACAACGAGTAATCTTTGTCTGGTCGACATACTGTGCGTAGACAACACACAATACTTTGATCACAAACATTCCTGTGGAAACATCTTCTCCTAAGTTTAGGATAATGTAAAGCGATAGGTTTTGTCATCTTAAAAAATATATCTTGTATTTAATACCTTGTTTGTTCGGAATAAGCGAAGATTCTGGTAATATCCTGAGTTGATATTCATTCAGTAGACAGAGGTATTGGAATCGCAAGTTTTCATATCAGCTATAATTCTGCCTCCGACAATTATGAATCCCACCTTACTTCTTCCGAGAAAGTTGGCCAAAATGAATCACTAAATGAACAAATTAGATCAAATCTGTTTGCCTAACCTTCTATTCGTTCGAAACTGGAACCCTGCCGACTCTGCAAAACCGTCAAATAGAAGTTCACGGCTTTATATATATAAATCAAGCTTCACGTGCTCTAGCATGGAGGAGAATCCTGCTCTTTCCGTTAAGGTGAGTCTTATCGTACTCCTGGGACATTACGACATTCTCCTTCAAAACATGCACCACCTCAATGAGATTTCGAGTAAACTCTCGACAGAAAGAATCGACCGTGGAAGTCAGCTTTGGCAGAACGCTGTTTTCCATCTGGTCTAATCAAAACATAACAATGACAGAGAACCAGTCACGTCGACATTGCAAAAAGAGAGTTCATGTGCCGAAACCAACCATGCACGGGTTTTGCACACGGGGTATGGCAGAAGTGAGATTTTGTTCGATATATAGGAAGCTAACAAATGATAAAAACCCTCGAGCTCAAGCTGGTGTTATATACAGTTGCCTATGGATGATACATCTCAATCACCTCAAGAGAAAGTAGGTACGCTAACTACTGAATAATTGAGCTAAACTCTACAGCTGGACCCGGATAAAATTTTGTACAGGTTTTGTCTGCAAGTGTAAACAAAAGAACGGATGCACGAATCTGCTAGTTATGATCTTTCACGAGTACAAATCTAGAAAAACCCCTCACGACTTTCGCTATTACCTCGACAGATTGATTATTGACAGTGAGTGCTAAACGTGATTCAAGAGCCGTGCCTTCGAGAAACATGTTCAGAAACGGTATATGCTCTTTGACAGTCTTCTTACTTCAGCTGGGGCCGGTAAAATTTTTCCCTTGGCGCTCCCAGTTGTGCTCGGCAGCGTGCAGCGAAATTGAACTAAACTCTTGATCGTTCGTGCCTCGAGGAACGCGTTCACCCGCGCCACATGGTTCTATGGGACTCCTCTATGGGTGAACCGCAGCAATGGGTTGAAGGTATGCCCGACTCGTATGCTCCGTAAAACCAACACCTCAAACCCCTGAACAAATCTCATCCATTGGGACGTTTCGTAAAGACGAGGAGCGATTGCCAGTCGACTCGATTGCAATGAAGCAGCTCGACCTCGGAACCTCTCTCTGCGGGTACATTTTTCTTCGATCCATACTCACCCCTCCCCTGAATCTCCCCCCATACTTTCCCTCCCTCGCTCCCTCCATCACAACCCTACCTCTATCGCTCTCTCTCCCTCGAGCTCTCGAGCTATCGATTGGACTACAACGCCCCAGGACTCATCAAACCATTTCCACCGATTGTTGCTGCTGCTTCGAGGTCTCGCCGATATTCTTTTCTTCTTGCTTGGAATTTTCGTCCCGGACGAGCGACATGGCGACGGGATGGGCGAGAAACGTGGGCTTATCCTCACCGGCCATAATCACGCACTTGACGGCCTCGAGATCCTTGCCATAGAAGTATCCCGCTCCGGCACCGGCGCCATTCATCTGAATTACGCAGTCATCTGTACTGCCCGGCGCACCCGATTGGCCAGAAGAGGCGCTGGCGCTGGCGCGTCGATTTCTTCTGAAGCAAGCGATGACGAGAATGAGGCCCAGAAGGACCAGCAGAACGAGCATGGTAAATCCCAGAATGATGAAGAAAGTAGAGCTCTCCTGCGAGCAATTGGACCTCTGGTACTGCCCGTGGCTCCATTGGTACCCTGTGCATGCTCCCGCCATGATAATTCCTCAATTCCGTCCCTCTCCGCGCCCTATTCCCCTCGGTCCGCGAAATCGCCGTCGACGGTCCAAAACCTGCTCAAAGTCCAACACAAAAATCACCATGAGAAACACATCTCCGAGCTCCTCCTTCTCCCGACCACGGTCGGTCAACAATTCACGCAAGCCGTGTGTGATTTCTCCAACCGTCTCCTCCTCCGTCCCTGCCCCGTCGGTCCCTCTCTGGTGGTCGCAGCCAACGGAAGTTCCACGGATATGCGATCGAGTGCATAACACAGGTGCTCACGTTGATGCTCGCCCCAGAACGACAAGAGGTGTGACGACATAAATTTCATTATTGCTGATGATGCTCGATTCTCTAACAAATCCAGTCTATAGGCAGGCTATGGCCGCTACCCGTGCCATCCACGGTACGGAGAAAACGAGGTCCTTTCACGAGCTAAGTCAGACCAGATAGATAAAACTGCACATGAAGCTGCAATCTGACATCTAACCGCTAGGTCCCACCCCGAACGCTTTAACGTCGTGCGTCATGGCCTTGATTCCATTCCTGCCGAGAGAGAGAGAGAGAGAGCGCTAACGAGCTGCTCTGCTTCGCTGCAGCAGCTGGCACTGGCACCCAAAGTCCACATCGTGCTACGATGAGTGAGCAGGGCATGCAGCAAGGTGCCATGGGCACGAGCAAGGACTGCAGTGCACTGCACTCCCCGCACCATGAGCGTGCTGGGGACCAAGAGGAAGTGAAGGAATTCAGAAACTGTTGCTCGCGATACATGTCAGTGCCAAATGGATGAGTGGCCAATTGCGCGCGTCGGCACGAGATGTGTTCGCTAATTACCGACCGCGGCCACTGTGGAATACGAGGCTGGAGACACTAGTCGGTCCGTGAGGTGAATCCGCTGCCCTCTCCACTAGGTGCGTTCGACTCACTCTGCGTCGGTCCGTGATCATGCTCTTCCTCGGGTGGTGCTGCTGGCCTATCGAGGAGGGGAGCCATATGAGCTCTAATCTGAACTCTCTCTCTCTCTCTCTCTCTCTCTCTCTCTCTCTCTCTCTCTCTCTCTCTCTCTCTCTCTCTCTCTCTCTCTCTCTCTCTGCGCCATGTACACGCACGAACAATTGCCAATTGATATTTCTTGCCAATTGATATTTCTCGGCGCATTGTGGGGGACTAGCTCGGACCATCATGAATCACATGCATGCAAGGCGGACGAGCTGGGGAAAACAGGAATCGGAAGAGTGAACTTACAACGGCGCAGACCGAATGCCGAAAATCGCCGCAGTTGAAGTGGTGGTGGTGGTGTGTCGACAGATGAAGGTATGCGTGGAAGCGGATCCCGAGAGAGCTCGACTGTCTTCCAGGTGGAGAGTCGCAGGAGCTCGAGAGATAGTAGCAGATGCGGCGTCGCGACCCGGCAGATGTTGGAAAGAAACACGGGATCAGATAGAGAGGGAGGGAGAGAGGTAGAGGGATAGAGGGATAGATAGATAGAGAGTGAATTGCAGCAACGACGCAGCAGCTGCAGTCTTGAAGGCAGCCGAATGCATCCACTGTGGCCTCCCCGGGCTCTCACTTCAGCTGCATTGCATGCGCATCATCATCAATACGCTTCTTCGGGCCCAGCTCATCGGCCCTTCCCTCCCCCACCTTCTTCATTCACTGTACCCTCCTCCGCAAAATCTTGCCATTTCCTCTTCCGGCAATTCCTCCCCCTCCCGCCCCACTCGGGCCTTGACTTGCCGATTGACTCCAGTCGTCCGACCGCTTCGGCACGCCCCTATCTACCCCTCCCCCGTTGGCCCCTCCCGTCGCCCACCGACTGCCCAGACAGCGCTTCCGCATTTAGTCGCTTCATTCTCTCTCGCCGTCCCGCTGTCCCCATGCCCCTCTCTCTCTCTCTCTCTCTCTCGCTCTCTCTTGATCCTTCGGCTCTCGAACAGCTGCGCAGGCAGCGAGGCCGAACCCCGATGACGTCATCGTGCCACGGAGGAGAGTAGCGATGACGTGGCTGACGAGCCCGCTCGTCATCAGCCTGGTCTGTATTTCAGACTTTATGAGGGCGAGGGTCGTTTCCATCCTTTTTTGAACGTTCTCGCTCCTCTTTGGAGCGCGGAGAGGGATGGGGGAAGGATATCTTGGAGGGGCTGACCGAACTCGAAAGATCCGACGGCGACGGGAGGATATACTTCGAGGGGATATATAAACTCGAAAGATCCGACGGCGACGGTGTGGATCGTTCCGAAAATGCGATTATTGGAATTATGTACGTCTGTATATTCCGATGCCCGAGTGCCGCTGCTTTTGTAAAATGCATCGAGGCCCATCGGGCCGAATATTAGGCTCGCCATTTCTGCCCTTCCTGACGGGGCGAGTGTTGTCTGCCGAGGTGGCAGCATGTCGTTTGTGCACAGTCACGCTCCGCCGCCTTTGCCCCACTTCGTGATTCAGACAGTATCTGTGCGTACGGTTCAGGTCGTCAGGCCAGCTCAGACTCGCTTAGAATTACTGCCCCGCTCGGAAGGTGGGGACCCTCTCGTGGCTCGAGCTTTTCACTCGATTTCGATTTCGATTTCACCGCTTGAGCTCTCCCAAAAGTAAACTCACCATTCCATTCCATTCTATTCCCCTCCAAATCCTAAAGTCTGATCGTCCGATCGATCGATTCAGCCGGTGGTGACGTCTTCTCTCGATTGCTAATCCGCACCCGGTGATCTCAATGACCCCAGGGTATTTTCTGAAGCGCGAGGTGCACGTTAGCACGCGCAACGATTCGGCATGTTTCGGCATTCCTGCATGGTTCGTTTTGTGTAGCACGAGTTGATAATGGCTGGCAAAAGTGTATTGATTTGTTTTGTCCAAGCGGGACGAGGCATGCTGAAGCATTTATGGCAGAAGCCCTGTCTGTAAGGCACCACGCCCCGAGATGTACTTAGCTCCTCCAAACTTTAGTGTACTGTACTGCACAAGGATTTATCATGACAATTTATGCTCAAAACCGTGCGGCAGCTTCCTGTCAAGTGTAAATTATTTCATTCTCTCCCTATGAGAAGGTTATGCATCTTCCAAGAGATTCTTGAAGGGATTACTCCAGAGTTCATACATGTCATTTCCATTAACAATAATTCTGTGGTAATGTCGCTGTTGTTACCAAAGTATGGTAGGTTGTAAAGAAAACTATAAATTGTAACAAATACTATAAACTATAAACTATAAATATAAGTGAGTGACCTTTTTGGTATACTCTTCCAAAGTGGGAACTAAGCCCTCCAGACCAACATTTTCTTTCCCCTAGAACCAATTAGTATCAATGTCTGGATGAGGGAATAATAAGGAATCCTATTGAAGGAATCTTCCAAACTTATTTATGTAAAAAAATATAAAAAATTATCTTCTCCCGCCTTTGTAATTATTGAACGAGATATAGATATATGTACAACGTACACGAATCAGTATGTTTCTATTGTCAGACGACATGTTGATGTTACTTCTGGCCTTTTTTTGAGCTATTTGAGTAATCGTAGTGGCGAATGGTGATTCTCGAACGAGTTTAGCCTAAAGAAATGAATGCATCAGCCATATCCTTCAGTTTACCTTTCTCTGTCCATCGGAGTCAAGAGACAACTTCGGGCTCTAGCTTACACCAGAGAAGATCGTTGATCTGATCTAACCTTCTTCCGAAAAGGAGGACCCATGGACACATTTTGGTCCTTGGTAAGACCTTTCGACATTTGTGTTGGCATGAACCTACCCTTCATCTCCTCCGAGGGACGACTCGTATAATCATTTGAGTCATTGCTAAGACCAGAGAAGTTTGTGATCGTTTCTACCCTTCTTCTCCTAACGATGACCCACTGACACATTTGGTCTCTAGGTGAGACCAGAGAAATATGTGATGGTACCTACCCTTCTTCTCATGAGGAAGACCAATGGACACATCTAGGTGGCATTTCTCTCGCTCGACCCCCCATTTGTGGTGACATCTGCCCTTCTTCAGCAAAGGAAGACCTCAATCCACACTCGGGGTTCGTGGTAAGACTAGATATGTACATGTGCAGCTGACAAAGAGAGAGAGAGAGAGATATATATATATATAAAAAATATGAAAAGAAGGGGTTCACATAACTCCGTAGAATTTGATGACAGTCATTAGAAAATACATCCAAGCGAGTAGGGTTTTAAAGTCAATAAAGCTAACTTCCGTATGATGCTGATGTCCATTTTTCAGTTGTAAATGAGCTCTTTCATTTTTTAATAAGCTGTAGAAAATAACATCTTGAGCTATTTGTGGTCATTTATTTTCAAGCCATAGATTTTATATGGATTTGAATTATGAAGATTCTGTTCTTGTATATTTCAACCAGGCTTCACTAATCTAAATTCATCCAGTGTCATCCAACATGACTATTTGGCCAACTTTGACAGAAATAGAAAGCTTGTATTTGACTTGGCTTTTAGAGTTCAAAAGCAGGAAATTTCGGGGTTGTGATGTGCAGCAACTTCCCAGCGTTCAAACTATTCATTAGTCAAATTTAACAACGACGTTCCTGGTGTGCTCGTTTGTCGACAACGTCCCTCAATACAACTTAGAATATAGTGGTTGGCTTCCTTTAGTTTCTACTGGTAGATCCATGGTGAGATAATCATTGCTCTATGATAATCAATCTGCATATTACTTTGGTTAAAATTTCTTATGCGGTTCATTCAGACTAATCAAAACAAATCATCGACATGCAGTTTCTGGGGTTTTAGCATAATACTTCCAAGTTTCATAAACTGAAAGTAAACTGCTAACCTGTAAATTTATAAAGTAATAGAGCTGGATGAGAAGCATTCTAGATAATTTTAAATTTAAAAGGTCGTCGCTGGACGAATTACAATCGATGATAACCTGTGCCCCTATATATAATGATGATGCAAATTTTTTATGATATTAGAAATAATTCTGAGGATAATAAAGACAAATCCTTCACCTCATATTCAAAGCTTTTGTTAACCAAGATTCTGTATGAATGTCTTGTTCCATAATATTTACAAATAAAAGAATGATCATATTTAGACAACGCTGGTTATTCATTGAATTCCATAATAATATCAGAATTCAAGTTTTCGTCATCATCGTTGCATTGCATTTTATTCATATAGAAGAAGCACCTGTTAGAATCACACGGGAACAGCTATGTGAAATACGCGCAACATTGAGATTAAAATTGGTGAATATAGTTGTAAATTTTTTATCCACAAAATTTTGCGCACATTGAACTTGACTCTGACTCCTCGATTTAGCACTCGAAAATTGATGGGAAAAATTGGCTTAGTCACGAAGTGTTTCGTTCATATGGCTTAAAATGGACCGCCTTTAGATTGGAATGAGAATTGCAGGAAACAAAGGTCAATGAGTAGTCTCAAGCAGCTATTATTGCAGGCGAGCAGAAAGGACATAAGTCGACTTCTTAGTTAGAGTCAGAGCCCAATTGGAAGAAGCGCCGAGGTCAATGTTAGAAATGACTAGATGGGGATTTCAAGTAACCCGAAAGGGTTACCTTCACAGGATGTGATATGGCAAGGACAAACGCCCCTTCTCTATCTTTAGCTTTCAGGAGGCTTTAACATTGTAAGACCGAGAAGATCCTCCTGATGATGTGTATCTCTTTACGTATGTACCTGATTTTTGGAGGTCTTTCGAATTCACTGGCCACCTGCGCCTAATTGAGTCAGAAACCGGAAATAGAAATAAGAATATGAGTTACCTTGAAGGTTCTGAAGTCAACTTGCTTGTTTTCGAAGGAAACTTAAGCAAGATGTGTGCACCTTATCTGCAGAACAGTGTGAACGAACAGCGATGGTGGAGACTACCTGTAGCGAAATCGCATGCACGGGAGTACGTGCAGAGAGCACAGTGTTCATGTCCAGGGCTTAGATTTGCTGCTAAACTTGACCTTCAAAAGGTGAGCTGCGAAGTGTCTGTCGGTGAGAGCCAGCCATCGCCCGACAGAACACTTCGATCTCCAAGGGATGGATGACCTTCAATTTCCTCTTCAGTCGCCTGCAGTGTGTAACAGCCCACGTATCGTTTCATAGATTACAGTGTCGATTGCCAGGGCTCCACTTTCTATTTTCCTCCACTAAGTTCTTTCATGAAGAGTTCGTCGGGCAGAGCCTCAAATGCCAGCCATTGTTCATACGAACAATCGCTCATCCTACCAGAGGATGGACGACCTTGAATTTCCACCTGGGTCACAGAGAAATTGAATTCAAAGTAAGATTTTTTAGTTGCAAGGTGGCGAGTCAAACAGAAAGCATGTTCAGTCATGTGCAAGTACGATCCACAGCGCACACTGGTTCCTATCGAGTCTGCCGGTAGCCCATACAGAACGCCACAAACTGGTCGTGTTCACATACGAACTCACGAATGCTGCTTCCTTGCTTTCTTTCCTCCATTGATTCCTTCCCACGGAACGAAGAATCGAGAATGGACTTTCGGTCATACTTCTGAATATTGCCACTCTGTTACGAAGTTACGAAGCTTTGGACTCGAAGATCTGCTACGTCGTGCAACATCATGCCCCCTAATCGAGCCCAGCAACAGTCTCCGGCATCGGGCTGACCAATTACGGATTCTTTCTAAAGATCGAGAATATTCCGTATCCGCAGTTCCCTTCCGTCCCACGAAAACGACCAGACTCAGATTTCAGCGACTGACAATTGGCAGAAACTGGCAAATATGCGCAAGGTGACGATGGACCGGCAGCGGAGCTTGTCCACGTCGACACTTTGCTGCTTTAGACACGTACTACTTGATGCGCGCGAGCAAGCCCACGTCACGAGTGCTTTGCACCTCCGCCTCCCGATAAAGCCCGGAACGACATCCAGCCGGCGTCCCGACGTCGGCGCTTTGCGGATTAGAGAAACCCGGGGACCTGGTCGGCTCCGGCATCGTCCAGCAAGCAGCCGCAGAGAGAGAAAGAGAGAACGCTGAGGTCCAAATGGCGCCAGTGGACGCGAGGGCCGCCGCCGCCGCCGCTGCTTCTGGCCGGAGGCGCGCGTTGGCCGACTCGGCAGACTGTTGTAGCGCCTGGACCACGTTACTTTGCGTCGGAGCTCGGGCGAGCGTATGAATGAAATGGGCAGACGAAATTTTCGGGTTCCGGATATAGATTTCCATTTTGGTTACTACAAATTTTGTATTTTAATAACATTTTTTTAAAATTTACTCTATATGAGAAGGAGCCGTATGAGGTTTTAGAACGTAGTTTATTTTAAAAAAATTTACAACCGTAACGAATGTCAGCTCAATCTGAAGGAGAGTATGCGGAAGCTTTGCAAATTTATTACGAAGCTATGCGGTTAGGAATTGATCCTTCTGATCGAAGTTATAGACTAATTAATATACGTCTTACTCATGCAAGTAATGGATAACATGTTAAAGCTTTAGAATATTATTCTCAAGCTTTAGGACGAATTCCATCTTTGCCTCAAGCTTTTAATTGGACGCACGGGGTGGGGGCCGCTGTATGGACAGCGGGGGCGAGAGAATGAATGAGATGAGCAGCCGAAATTTTCGGGTGCCGGAAGAAGGAATTGGAAGCGCGGGGGGAGGCTGTATGGACAGCGCGACAATGTTATCCGCCCGGCGCATGACGGGCGCCGGGCGGAGACGAGCCATGCTGCATGGCGTTACACAGCGAATTTTGGATCCGGACAAAGGGCGGGGGCGAATTTAGATTGGAGGTCCGAGGCGAGGCGCAGCTGTGCTGTGCTGGGGAGGAATGATTGCGTCGCGCTTCTTG